TACACATTTTCCTCAGGGCCTCTGTTTTGTTTGTAACCTGGAAACCAGGAAAATCAACTGATGTGGCGTGAGAAAAAATACCATCTACCAGAGTTTTTTTTGTTGTTGTTTATTTTTAAGTTGATTTCTTAAGTCTCTTTGGTAAAGAAAAAGGATTGAGGTGATCCTGCTGCAAACACATTTAGAGAAGGTCAAGATTGATTTCATTAGGAACTTGTTAGCCCATAATAAGACTCCTGAAGTCAGGAGACATGACAGAAACATCTCCATATCTTATCACTCCATATCACTATTTCTTGAACTGAGTACCCTGTTTTGTCGTTTTTTCAGAGTTTTGTGTCAAACCTCTAATTCAATGTTCTTCTTGTCAGATTGCATCTAGTAACGTGTTTAGTAGTCTTACCACCAGCATATATTCAGCCTGTGTCCTATATCTGCATCAGGAGAACTTAATTTAAAATAAACTCTACATTTGATAAGAAGTTAAACTGCATGATGACATGACCTCAGCCTCTCAGAGGCAGCAAGCTGTAACCACAATTAATGTAAATGACTGTTCTTAAGGAGAAAATATCCTCCTATAATGATGTAAGGCCTCATAGACATTTGACACAGAAGATAACACCTGTTTATATGTATGTGTCATTGGATGACCTCAAAACACTTAAATTACCTTATGGAGCATAAAGCTTAAAAATAACAATACATATGAACACTTTGACTTTGTTCTCTTTACACAGTTGATACTCAGCAAACACAGTATACTGTACAATACTCTACAGAAATCCAACTACAAAGAAGGTTTATGATTAATTTTAAGTTTTTATTGAAGTATTTGCCAAATTATTTGTAATTAAGTTCTTTTCCAATTTTTTGGGTGGGATAAACCGGAGCGCCCGGAGAAAACCCACACCAGAACAGTGGAACATGTGACGTCCTGACAGAAAGAAACCTGCTGGCTTCTGTTTGTCAGGACTTCACATGTTTCACTGTGCTGCCCTGCAGCCTGTTACAGCCTGTGGGAGCTGGGGAGGGTGGAGTTGGGGTGGTTGGAGTTGGGGTGGTTGGTGGGTGCTGAGATCGTCACTGCTGGTCCTGCATCTGCCCCCTGAGATGCTTGTATTTGCGACGGTGTTCTGGAGTGATGCCCTTTTTAAACCTCCTCCACAGAGAGATTTCCTCCGTCTCAGCTGTTTTCTGGACCACATTTGGAGCGTCACCCTTGCTGTTTACCTGGGTGCTGTTAACCTGGGTGTTGTTAACCTTGGTGCTGTTTACCTGGGGGTTTTCCTTTTGGAGGGAGGTCTCACTGTTAGACTTAACTGTCTGTTGCTCCAGCTGCAATTGGAGCACCTTCACCTCCTTCTGCAACACCTGATTTGTCTCGTCCTTAACGTTCAGTCTGAGGATCAGCTCGTCCCAGAGCCTTGTTTTAGCTTGGAGCTGACTTGTTAAGCTCTCCAGCTGCTTTTGAAGCACCTTCACCTCCTTCTGCAACATCTGACTGGTCTCCTCCTTAACGTTCAGTTTTAAGGCTAGATCAAGGCTGCTGCTGGTCTCTTCCTGCAGCTTCAGGTCGGTAGTAATTTCTTTGCTGAAGGCCTGATCCTGCACGGCGTTGTTTTCAGCTCTCAGTGTTTCATCCAACTTTGGACCCTCTGAGGCTCTCTCCTGGAGCTTTTTATTTTGAGCTTCAATCACACCTATGAGCTCCTCTTTTGTTTTGCAGGAATAATATTTCATGTCCGGTACACTGAAGGATGGATTCAGGTGTTTCAGCTGTTCTTTTAACATCCTGATATCCTTTTTATGCTCGACTGTGCTGTAATGCTCCTCCGTCCACCTTTGTCGATAGTCCTGCATCTTGCTGTAGTGGGTGGCATTGATGTGCTCCACTGCTCGCCTCAACCCTATCTCCTGTCTTAGATGGTAGGTTGCGTCGTCCAGGCGAGCCCTGAGATCTTTTTCCACCTGCCATCTGGGAGGGGTCCTGGTAGGGGTACCGGGTACTGGTGTACTGGTGCTGCCTGTAGCCTCCCCCCACCCTTTGAGGATGAGGATTAGCTTGTGGCTGAGTGTGAACTCTCTTTGTGGTTTTGGCCCCTGAACTTCCTCACCCTTTCAGAGGGAGTGTTATCTTGTGGCTCCATGGGGACCCTCTTTGCCCCTGAACTTCCTCCACCCTTTCAGAGGGAGTATATTTGTGGCTCCATGGGGACCTCTCTTTGCTGGTTGCCCCTGAACTTCCTCCACCCTTTCAGGAGGGATGTTTTCTTGTGGCTCCATGGGGACCTCTCTTTGCTGGTTTTGCCCCTGAACTTCCTCCACCCTTTCAGAGGGAGTATTATCTTGTGGCTGAGTGTGGACCTCTCTTTGCTGGTTTTGCCACCTGCCTACCTTCACCCTTTGAGGAAGAGGATTAGCTTGTGGCTGAGTGTGGACCTCTCTTTGCTGGTTTTGCCACCAGCCTACCTCCACCCTTTGGGGATGACGATTAGCTTGTGGCTGAGTGTGGACCTCTCTCTGCTGGTTTTGCCACCTGCCTACCTCCACCCTTTGGGGATGAGGATTAGCTTGTGGCTGAGTGTGGACCTCTCTCTGCTGGTTTTGCCACCAGCCTACCTCCACCCTTTGGGGATGACGATTAGCTTGTGGCTGAGTGTGGACCTCTCTCTGCTGGTTTTGCCACCTGCCTACTTTCACCCTTTGGGGATGAGGATTAGCTTGTGGCTGAGTGTGGACCTCTCTCTGCTGGTTTTGCCACCTGCCTACCTCCACCCTTTGGGGATGACGATTAGCTTGTGGCTGAGTGTGGACCTCTCTTTGCTGGTTTGGCCCCTGAACTTCCTCCACCCTTTCAGAGGGAGTGTTATCTTGTGGCTCCTTGGGGACCTCTCTTTGCTGGTTTTGCCCCTGAACTTCCTCCACCGTTTCAGAGGGAGTATTATCTTGTGGTTCCATGGGGACCTCTCTTTGCTGGTTTAGCTGGACGATGCTGCTGCTGGCCCATGGCAGGATATTTACCAAGTCCTCAGCCTCAGCCTCAGCCTCCATCTCCATGTCCATGATATCACCCCAGCTCAGGGACTCTGATTCAGTCTTTTGTTCCATTGCTGTTCTGATGAGATTCAGAGATTTGGTCACTTAGATGTCGAGTAGTTTAGAGTACTTGTTGCACTTGTTAAAATATCTCACTGACTAGTGTCTCAGATCTGATCCGTGAACTGATGAGTGTCCGTGCCTCTCAGCTTGGTGTATTGGGTTTTATACCTAAACTCTACATTCTAAAAGCCTTTGATGATTCTGTGATGATTCTTTGATGATTTTTTGATGATGCTTTAAGAGTCCAGAGCTCCGGAATTATTTGTGTTGTTTTGTTTTGATTTGTTGCCAACATGCTATGACCTCATAATACTGGAAATGTTGTCATATAGTGAACATTTCTCTTTATGTTGTTATAATATTGCTCTGTTGAATGTTTATATAGGGTGCCACAGGTTTGTGGTTAGACGCCTGAAATAAGGTCTGTGGTTAACACAAGCATAAGAGATGTTCACGTTTTGTTAGATGACATAAACTACCTTATTGTTTATTGACTGTCATAAGTTTTGGTGGAATTAGACAACTAAATGTCCACCAGGCCTCTTCATTTTTACTCTTTCAGCTATATTTTATTATATTTAAAGAAATATATCACGTCAGCAGACATGCAGGAAGGTTCAGGGTCTGATTCAAGGACAGGGACCTTAATGGACTCATTAGTGTGGCAGGTTTAGAGCTTTTGACCTACAAGTTGGAGTGCAGCCTGTGTGGACACACACACACACACACACACACACACACACACACACACACACACACACACACTGTATATCCATGTGTGTTACAGTGTGAGTGCAGCCCTCGTGCTGTGAACAGACACATCATTATAGTATTCACGGACCAACATGGCTTCCAGCATGGTCTGGTCCAGCTGGCAGCAAGATATAGACAGATAGATACTTTATTGATCCTGAGGGAAATTCAAAGCATCCAGTAGCAGGTTACAAAGACGTACATGACATGAAACATTTGTTACAAATTAAACCACAAACCCCCCCCCCCCCATACATATATATTAACCCCCCCAAAAAAGATTTAAAGAATACCTCTAGATGAATCAAAACTTAAACTGTGCAATTAAAAATAGATTTATACAAGAAATGCACATAACCTGTGCAGGGATAAAAATAAAACTATATGTGCAATTTAAAACAAGAACCTGTAAACAGTTGAGGAAAACAAATCTGTAATTATACCTGAATATAAAAAAATAAGAATAAAAAAGTGTTGACCTTCTGAAGTTTTGTTGTTTATATATGTACAGCAATGTTTAAAAAGCAGACAGTGCAAAAGCAAAGACCCCTTGCAGTCGTTTAAAACTCACTCACACACACACACACACACACACACACACACACACACACACACACACACACACACACACACGTTTTGAACTGAGTTCAGAGTGAGATTTTGGCTGCAGCGGCAGTTTGGGTAAAATTTGATAAAAGACACATAAATTCGTACAAATAAAACTATTTATTGACAACATTTCTTGGTGCAGGGGTGCTTATCTGACCTCCACGGTGGGAGAGTGTGTGTGTGTGTGTGTGTGTGTATGTGTGAGAGTGTGATTATGGTTAGTGTTGTGGTTTAATCTCGTAAATTTACGAGAATAATCTCGAAATTAAAAAAATAATAATAACGTGGCCCTAATATTCCGTCGGAAAAACTTACCCGGATACAGCAATGCTATTTATTGATTGGCTGGTGCGTGGTAAGCGCCTTTTTACCTCTATGGGAAACCCCGTTGATTCCTATCTGTTCACAGTTTTAAAAAATAAGAGAGCAACGTGGTGGGTGTTATCCTGCGTGAGAAATACAAGGGGTGTGTGTGTGTGTGCGTGTGTGTGTGTGTGTGTGTGTGTGCGTGTGATCCATAGAAACAGGTTGAAATACTTCCAGCAGGGGGCAGCAGTGAAATAGTGCTGAACTTTAGGAACCAACACTTCCGGTTGTGAAGCAGCGGTCTCCATAAAAAGGAGAATAATCTATCATTAACCTGAACTGATCGGCGGGAATAAATCAACCAGTCTGCTCTGAATGTTTGAAGTTTGAATGTCTGTCATCACAGGTGCAGCTAACAGCTAACAGCTAACTGCTAACAACAGATACAACACTGACGGTGAGTAGAGACAGCTAACATGCTAACATGCTAACATGCTAAGGTGTTGTGTTAAACCGTCAAAACTTTCAAAACATCTTTTGAACCTTCAGGTATAAATAACCTCCAACTCTGTCACATGTAAACCTTCACACACTGTACAAAATATATTTAAAAATACCGAGGGGAACAGACTTTTGATAAAACCTGCTGTGAGCTGCCTGCTGGCTAACAGCTGATATTATGATGTTGATATGATATATTTATTATTATTATATTTATTATTATTATATTCAGTCTGTAAACATGTTGATATGATATATTTATTATTATTATATTTATTATTATTATATTTATTATATTCAGTCTGTAAACATGTTGATATGATATATTTATTATTATTATATTTATTATTATTATATTTATTATATTCAGTCTGTAAACATGTTGATATGATATATTTATTATTATTATATTTATTATTATTATATTCAGTCTGTAAACATGTTGATATGATATATTTATTATTATTATTATTATATGTATTATTATTATATTTATTATTATTATATTTATTATTATTATATTCAGTCTGTAAACATGTTGATATGATATATTTATTATTATTATTATTATATGTATTATTATTATATTTATTATATTCAGTCTGTAAACATGTTGATATGATATATTTATTATTATTATATTTATTATATTCAGTCTGTAAACATGTTGATATGATATATTTATTATTATTATATTTATTATTATTATATTCAGTCTGTAAACATGTTGATATGATATATTTATTATTATTATATTTATTATTATTATATTTATTATATTCAGTCTGTAAACATGTTGATATGATATATTTATTATTATTATATTTATTATTATTATATTCAGTCTGTAAACATGTTGATATGATATATTTATTATTATTATATTTATTATTATTATATTTATTATATTCAGTCTGTAAACATGTTGATATGATATATTTATTATTATTATATTTATTATTATTATATTCAGTCTGTAAACATGTTGATATGATATATTTATTATTATTATATTTATTATTTTTATTTTTATTATATTCAGTCTGTAAACATGTTGATATGATATATTTATTATTATTATATTTATTATTATTATATTTATTATATTCAGTCTGTAAACAGGTTAATATGATATTTATTATTATATTCTGAGTGTTTTTAGTCAGTCTGTAAACAGGTTGATATGATATATTTATTATTATTATATTTATTATATTCAGTCTGTAAACATGTTGATATGATATATTTATTATTATTAATATTATATATTCTGAGTGTTTTTAGTCAGTCTGTAAACATGTTGATATGATATATTTATTATTATTAATATTATTATTATATATTCTGAGTGTTTTTAGTCAGTCTGTAAACATGTTGATATGATATATTTATTATTATTATATTCTGAGTGTTTTTAGTCAGTCTGTAAACATGTTGATATGATATATTTATTATTATTATATATTGAGTGTTTTATCCAGTCTGTAAACATGTTGATATGATATATTTATTCATTCAGTCTGTAAACATGTTGATGTGATGTATTTATTATATTCTGAGTGTTTTTATTCAGTCTGTAAACATGTTGATATGATATATTTATTATTATTATTATTATTATTATATATTCTGAGTGTTTTTAGTCAGTCTGTAAACATGTTGATATGATATATTTATTCATTCAGTCTGTAAACATGTTGATGTGATGTATTTATTATATTCTGAGTGTTTTTATTCAGTCTGTAAACATGTGAGCTGATGTCAGTGTGTTTTCTGTGTTTTTCAGGGTTCCAGTGTGTCTGATATGAGCGGCTCTGTAAGTTTTGTGTCTTTTTAGTTTAGTTTATTTTATTTGCACATTTTCTGAAAGAAGAATCAAACAGAAAATAAAACACATGTGCAGGTGAGGTAGAAACCCAACTCAAAACCTCACCTTAAGAGATTAAACAGTTAAAATAAAATACAGTAAAAATAACAAAGACAGAGTAGTCTCTACCTGATCTAGATCAACAATTAATAATAAAAGGTTTAGTGGAAAATGAGAGGTTTTCAAACATTATCTTGTTTTATTACACGGCTGGTTACTTTAGCAATCCATCATTTGAAACAGAATATTGATTTGGAAATTATTGTTTTAATTTAAAAGTGATTTATGAAAGTCAAAGTCAACTTTATTGTCAATTTCAAAATATGCCAGACACACAGTGGAATCGAAATTGCGTTTGTCTCCGTCCCATGGTGCAATACAACCAAAATAAGATCAAATAAGGTCAAATAAATAATATTTACAGTAATATATTCTAAATAGTGCAAAAGGTACAAAACAAAATTGAAAGAAAAAGTAAACTTGAAATGTGCAATATAAATTATGTATTTCCCTTAACAAATTGTAAATTTGAATCTACAGCTGTTTCCATAGCAACAGTTAACTCTGTAACCTCCATACAATGAGCTAACCCAGCTGTTATTAGTCATAATTAACTGAACATTTATTAAAACCAACTAAACCGGCTGTTATTACTCACATTTATCTGAGTTTATTTTTAAACTAACTAACCTAGCTGTTGTAACTTAGATTAAAGACTTGATATGTAAATGTCAATCATGTTGAAGTAAGACAAGTTATTGATTTATTGATTGCTGAATATGCTTGTTATAGTCAGAGTCAATCATGATCATCATCTGCTGCTGTTCACACTCACATAGACATGCCTGTGCTTACCTGTACAGATGGCTGAAGCCCCGCCCACTGTTATGATGACATGACTGTAACTATATGCATTGTGATGTCTGTGCTTAGGCTCAGAGAAAGAGGAGGACCACAGGAAGTCCTCTGGTGTCCAGACCCAGCATCAAGACCAGCAGAGGAGCTAGCACGAGAAGAGCGGCAAACACTAACAGAGCTGCCAATGCTAACAGAGCAGCTAACGCTAGCAGAGCAGCCAGCAGATTGGCTAACATAGCAGCTAACACAACAGCTAATGTAAGCAGCACCTCTGATGGTGACTCTGCTACCCCAACAGAGACCATCGATGTGATGGACAACACATTAGAAGGTCAGTGCGATAACTACTCTATTATCGATTATCAGGTCTGATCTGATACATAACTGGGTGTTTTTGCACGCTCTTAGGTGTGGACGACGTGGTGGATCTCACCTGTGAGGGCTCAGAGGCTGCTGTGGTGGACCTGACCCACAGCGACTCAGTAGTGGTACACAGTAATACTACAGAATAATACTACACAATAATACTACACAATTATTAGGGATGGGGATTGAAATCCGGGTCCATAAGGTTCCTCGTTCACATTTTTCAAACACTAAAAGAAACTTAAGTTTGAGTTTATCGAGGCTAATGAGCATTGGGCATCAGATTAAACCAAAAATGCAGCACCAACTGACTTCGGGTTGAAAAAGAACTGGGGATTAGGGGATGCGGTGCGGTATGTTTTTTAGTCTCAGAGACTTGTACTAAAGTGCAACATCTACTCTGAAAGTTGCATAATTTATCTTGTATGTCTTTAACCCAAGTTGCAGTTAGATGAGATGAACAATTTGTGTTTTGAACACCTGGAAAAAAAACTCCTTCCTGTTTCACAGCAAACCAAAAATGAGCAGTGTTGGACGTAGCCGTATGGAAGTCATAATTCAGCAAGCTGAAGGTCTTGGCATGTACCTGAGAGAATCTGAGTGTGATTTGAGGGATTTGTAGGATAATAGCACAAAAGCAGTAACCTTTAGTTAGAAGGTGATGCTGTGTACAGCTGAGTTGTGACATCATGGAGACTTTTCAGTTTGTTGTACCGCCACAGATACGGCTTCTGACGTAGCCTCACAGATTTCCCTACAGAGGAATACCGAGGTGTTTAGGGTTTTATGAGCAAATTTGATTTTGATATGTTCAACCAGCTAGGAACTGTACTGCATAGATTGTAGACATGAGCTCATATTCAGTTTAGTATATGTTATTGTAAGAATGGCAAACAATGTGAAAATCTTAAACCTAAACCAGAATGTGTTTCATTTTTATGACACATGGTCATGCAGTGAAGATGTGATCTTGTTTTTGTTTTTTAAAGAGGGGTCAGGACAGTCTAAATGACAGACACTCTCGCACCTACCTGCCACGCACTGAACAAGAGAGGGAGAGAGCGCTGACATGCTGCATGCAGATCATTTTTAATGTCCGGACCTCATCCGTGCGCACAGTCCACATGCGCTTTATTGTCTCTGCGCCCCCCCACTTTGAGCAGTCCTGATCTATGTGGACCCCTTTTTGAAAATGTAAAGAATGCTGCATTGAGCCATTTTGATACATTTATGTGGGGGATCCCTAAACATACATACATTTTTTTTTTTTACCAGGCTTGATGTGTGTCCAAATTTTTAAGGCATGTTTAAGCCCCCCAAAATGTGATTAATTTGGCACCAGAGCAAAGGCTTTTGCTCCGTTTCGGTGCTGGGAACCTAACTAACGATCCCCATCCCGAACAACAATAAGACACGACAATAATGGAGTAATAATACTAATTTTTTGTTTCTTCCTCTGTTGTTGATTTTGTTTCTTTTTTGCTGTTTTGTTTCTTCTGCTGCGGTGTCCCAGCTGCTGGATGAAGGTGACATATTTATCTTTATTAATAGTGTGAGTCTTATATCAGAGTCAGAATATGTGAAGATTTAGATAGTTTTTCATTGTCTTTGTAAATAGGATTAGTTAAAATGTTAGTCTCTTGTGTTTAATGCACTAGTTCTAAAACTATTTCGGTCATGGAGGGGGAAAGATTTCTGTGCCTGCCACCCAAACAAAATTGTGATTTAAAGGGCAAAGTTTAACTTTATTAAAATACTTTTGAGAAGGTGAACACTCATTTCATCATGTTGTGTGTATGCTAACGCCCAGACAAATAGGAATTATTTACATGTTCTATATCCGCTAATTACTGTATATCATCTTTAACTATATCAAAATATTTAAAAGATGACTGTTTATATTTTGAACTTTATTTTGATATCTTAAAAAAATATATACAGTGTTTTAAATAACGTCATAAAAAAGTAACATAACAAAGTATCACACAGCCCAAACAGTTGATTTTAACATAAATATATCTGATACGGCAAATGGCCAAACTTATGATTTTTGAGTTGCTCCTCTTACTTCAGATTTCAAGGGTGCCCAACCCCCATCAGTCCAGTCTCAACATAGACACGTTTAGATTGTCTGGTTAAATGAGTCTGAAAAGTTTTAAGATTAATAAAACAAACTGCAGCTCAGCTTCTTATTCCTTTTTTTTTTTTTTTAAGAGTGAATCCTCATTTGGTGACATGTTCACTTCAAGATGTCTCTGGGTGTCCTCAATCAGGTCCTCGGAACAGAGAAGTCACCACAGGCGGGAGTTATGTTGTCAGCAGTGACGAAGACGAGGACACGCCCCCTGTCCTCAAAGGCGCAATCCTGTCCTCTTTACAGTCCAACAGCTCGTCCAGGTAATAGTCTGATCCCACTAAGCTCAACCATTCTGTAAATCACAGCCAGGTAGTAGACTGATTCCACTCAACTAACATTATCTTTTAATTATAGCCAAGTGATAGACTGATCCCTGGTTAATGTCTCTGTTTCAGATCGACTCCGGGGACAATCAGCTGTCCTGTCTGTTTGGACTCGTACTCTGAGGTGAGACTCTCACACACTTGTAACACACATGCTTCATACCTGTAAAAAAAACCTGTTGCATACCTGTTACATACCTGCTATCAGTTACAACAATGATATTACACATACCTGTTTAGGTACCTGTAACACAACAGTTGTATAACCGTTAAAACACCTGTGAAACGCTTCTTACACACCTGTTATAAACCTGTCACAATCACCTAGCAATATTGTTGTGAATCGTCAGTTGAGAAGCAGCAGGTAGACAGTTGCTATGTGCGTCGAGAGGGACTCTTAAGTTGTTTTTGGACACTACAGCAACCTGCTGACCACATTAAACTAACCAGGAGAGTCACACTTGCACAGCACACCAAGTAGACCCTCAGGCTCGATGCTCCGGACGTACATGTGCATGGATTGTGATCGTGGTGGTAGGGGGGTTTCCTGTCAGTATACTGTGTTCTGATTTGCTGCTGTGTTTTCACAGATCGTAGAGAGCGGCCGATTGGTCGTTTCCACTAAATGTGGTCATGTGTTCTGCAGCCAGTGTCTGAGAGACGCCCTGACATCATCACACACCTGTCCTACCTGTAGGAAGAGACTTACCCACCGTCAGTACCACCCCCTCTATGTCTAGTATCACCGTCAGGTCACCACACAATGAGCTGCTGCTGGAAATCATCATCAGTGACACCATCATCATCATCATCAGAAGAGTGAGCGGTTTGCTGCTGGAACCAAGCTGTTTTAATTCAAGTGATCACTGATTGATAAATGATTGATGTAAATAGTTGATTTATTTTTCCGTTTGTTGGGTTTTCAGCTCCTGTTCTGTTCGTCTGTTGACTCTTTGTTTTCATTTAACTGATGTGTGTTAAAGTATAAAATAAATTCTTTTAAATTCCATGAAAAGTTTTCTTGGTTCTGTCCTTTTCTAAAAGTTCCTCAGAACAGGTGAGTCTTATCATATAAAGTATCTGTTGTATTCTGCAAAAGTACAATAAAAACTTCATTTTAAACATTGTCTGTTGTCTTAATAGATTTTGATGATTTATAAACAGCTCTAATGTAATCAATCGGTTATTTGAGTATTAATCAAAATGTGGATGAGGTTCGGTGTAAATACAAAGCTGCAGGTGTTTTTGTTCACATCTGTAGCTCAAAAAAAGCTGTCAAAGTGTTTTCTTATGCTGTATTTCATGTTTCAGAGCAGTGATGTGTTCCAGGACAGTTTGTAATGTTTGTGTTCATCCTGTGACTCTGAGTCACTCCACTAACAGGTCACAGGATTCATGAGTCACTGTCACGTGGCACAAACTGTGCAGCTGATTGACCCAGGCACAGGATGATGTCACACCTCCACAACTTCTGGAAGGAACATCAGCTCATTGAAACAAAAATATCACCCGGTTCAAAGAGGGAAAAATAAATGACTTGATCCCACACAGGATAATTCAAAAGTTCCAGTACTAATGAATAACTTTATTAGTATTAACACAGCTGTTAATAAATGTGTATGTTTATATGATGCAGTTCACACACTATTTAGTCATAAACAAAAAGGTGAGTAAAAAAAAAACATTGAAATCATTTGTTGTATTTTATTATTAAAGATGAATTACATAACCTCTTTAATAAATCCTTCTGGTCTAGACAGCAGGGGAAGAAACATTTCACACAAACACACACAAATTACAATAAATGATCAGTTTAGCATTAAAACATGCAAACACAGGTCAAATGAATATTCACCTGATTTTAGATTCATCCACTTTAATCAAATTGTCTAGTTTCAGGTGACTCTGAAGCTCAGACCGAGATGAAGGAAACATTAAAGACACAGTTAGTTTGAGGAATAAAAATGTGAGCCAAGATTACAGCTGCTGTTTGAGCAGTATTTAAAAACATAAATAAGAGGAAAGATCATGTAGTACGGCTTCATAAAGAATACAAGTCAAATAAAAGATAGGCTACGAGTGAGCCATCTTTCTGGTTTTGTTGTATAAAGAAGAAAAACCTACAGTCTCATACTGACACAATGATGTGTGCATGAATCCAAATCCAGAGACCAATCACAGTAGACTGAGTCAGACATTGTAATTGATGGCAGCATGCAGATGAAGAAAATCCCTTCAAACACTAATCAATCTTTAAAAATAAAATCTTAAAACGATTCCTAAATAAGTGTCTCTCTGTCAAAAAGGGAAAAATCAGCATTTGTTTCTGAAAGAAGCACAACTTCAAACTCAGTTTTTTGTTGCACTCTCTATATGACAATGTGAAATAGGCTACTGATAGGCCTAAGTATTTGTTCAGACATATTTAAACCCTTTAACAACATGACAACAGATTGGGTGTTTAAATAACCGGCATAACTATGAACCTTGTCATCAGAATCATTTCTACATGTAGGCTAAATATATTTATAAACAGTATGTAACTCTGTGCGACAATTAACTCGTTTACATTTTCATATTAAACATTAAGGTACCCTACTTCCATAATTTTAATCACACAAAGGAACTATTTAAGGTGAAATAATAGATTAATATTCAGTACAGTAGCCTATATGATACAACATATAACAGGAAATCATGGGAAAAGTCTTATAACTGCTTTAAATCATGCTGCTTTTGTTTCCAAGACATCTTTTGTATTATAGATATATTATCAATCTTCAAGTACATTATTAAAATATAAATCATCTCTAGTTGAACTGATGGTTTGTAAAAATGTTGAATGTAAGATAATAGAAACATCAGATAATAAAATGTCAAAAGTTTGAATTGATTATTTAACTTTATTTTTCTCCATCATGATGACGCAGCATTGTTTGGTTTTTATTATGAACTTTATTCCGGTTAAACTTGATTGGTCAGGTGACTCTGAGGGGAAAACCCCCTAATTGGAATGTGCTTTGTCATTCCTCGGGCTGTGATTGGTCGTATGGGCGGGACGGTGTCAGCGGACCAATGGGAAGCCGCGCCGATATTTTCCTTCTCGCAGTCGTCGGTGACGTTTATCGCGGAAGTAAACATAAAGAGGGGCAGAAAGGATTTAAACTGCGTCACAAAGTTTCAGAGCCACTAAAGTTCTTGTTTCCAGTGTGTTCGGCTGTGAGTCTTCAGGTTGACACGATGGCTGTGACGGTGAAAGCTTACCTGTTAGGTAAAGACGAGGCGGTGAAAGAAGTGCGCAGGTTCACCGTGGATCAAGGTGTATCCTCGAGCTTCGACTACCTGAGCAGCAAGACGGCTGATGTGTTTACCTGCCTGAAAAACAACGGGTTCAACATGTACTACAGAGGTAAATATTTGTTATTTTTGCAAAAAAAAAAAAAAAACTTAAACATGTATTTAAACATGTAATCACTTCACTGGATCGGATATTTTATTAATAATTAAATAAAGGTCTATTACAAAAAACAAACATTTATTGTGATAAAAGGACAGAAAAGTTAAAATCTTGAGTTTTCCAGCTGTAATTCTGCACAGTGACTCAGGTTCAGGCAGTAAACTGGGTCAAAATGAATCTTATGTAAACACTAAGCTTTGAGTTCAATGTGAGCTGCCCTCTGCTGACTCACATCTCTTGTGGGAGGGTCCCGTGAGCTCAGGTCTGGGCTGCGTTCAGCTCTGTCTGAACACATTCATATGCAACATGTAAATATATGCTTGAGTAATGACCTAAAACTAGAGTGAAGTCAACTCCCTCTGGGTTTGTTGTTCTGAGCCCTGTGTTCACATTGACAGGACAGTGCTTCAGCTTGTTTATGTTTCATAAACATGTTTTATACCCCACCCTCTCAACTGTTAGCCCGGCCACCACAAGTATACAGCTGAAGGAAAACCAACAGACTTTACAAAGTGAAGAAAATATTTCCTTTGGGGGGGGGGGGGGGCTGAGTGACGAAGGAAGTGTGTTAAAAGAGAGTGTTTGTCTTGGTCTGAAAATCTGCTTTGTTAGTCGCAGTCAGACTTTAAACACTGAGGTGATGTTTATGAACGTGTCGCTGCTGATTGGTTGGTTGAAAATTCTGACATGCCTACTAAATGACAAAAAAAAATATCTGTCAAAGACTGTTTCACCTCACATGAACGGAAAAAGATACTCAACCTATTTTATTAATATATATTAAAAAAATTAACGATGAAGATGAATGTTTGTTTCTTTGACTGTTTCAGATGAAGATGGAGACCTGGTGGCGTTTTCCTCCGATGATGAACTGATGATGGGTCTGGCCTGTATGAAGGATGCCACCTTCCGCCTCTTCATCAAAGGTAAATATATATATATATACACCTCACCTGCCCCTGATATGAACCCACAGACACTATTGTAACCAGCTGATGTAACAGACTGTTATTCTGACTCATTACCTTTTTTTCAACTCTTCTAGAGAAAAAGGAGCACCGGAGGGACTTTCCTCTACATGCCTTTCCTCCTTTTGCCTTTGGCCATCCTCCTCCTCCTCCTCCTCCTGGAGCTCATCAGGCCCCACCGCCTCATATGGCCCCGCCTCCAGCCATGCACCCTGACGTCACCTGTGACGGCTGTGAAGGTCCCGTGGTCGGAACTCGCTTCAAGTGTTCCGTTTGTCCTAACTACGACCTGTGCTCCGCCTGCCAGGCTCGTGGGACCCACACCGAGCACGCTCTGCTGCCGATCTGGCACCCCATGCAGGTGAGGGGCATTATGGGAAGGAACCCTCTGACCATGCCTACCAGTGATGTCACAGTGTTCACCAGACTTTAAATCATTTATAACTGACCCTTCTGCCACTCATTGTATACTTATAATACTACAAACAAAATCAACGTCTGATCTTTTCTCTCAGCAGTGGTTTCCTCGGGGTCGTTGGATGAAGAAGATGAGACACTGCATGTGGAACCAAAACCTGAACGTGAACCCTCCCCAGAACCAGAACAAGAACCAGGACCAGGACCAGTCCTCCAGCCCACCAGGATCCTCCAGACCTGCTGCTGAGGGCAACGCAGCCTCTGGTCAGTCTGCATGTGTTTGACTCACAGATCATAATAAAAAGAACCTTCAGACTGATGTTTCACGGTCTTTGACCCTGTTTGTGACATCATCCGTGACCTCTGACCTCTGTCCACAGCATCTCAGGCAAGCATGGACTTCCTGAAGAACATCGGTGAGGGTGTGGCTGCGATGTTGAGCCCCTTGGGTGAGTGATGTCACTGTTAGCAGTTGCTAGATGTTCTTCACTGACAAACGTCGGCCAATAAGATGAGACAGAAGATGGCGTCATGACATTTAAAAATGAGTGACAGGAGATGACGTCATCTGTGTGTGCAGGTATCGATGTGGATATCGACGTGGAGCACGAAGGCCAGAGGACCAAAGTTACTTCACCCCTCCAGACCGGAGAGGCCGAGAAAGACGTCGAGAAAGACGTCGAGATGAGCGATGGCCAGTGAGGGCGGGGCCAGCAGTGAGGGCGGGGCCAGCTGTGAGGTTGGGACCAGTCAGGAAGGAGTTAGCACTGGGCCTGTAGCCAGTGATGGTTCAAAGGTCAGTTGAATCCAAGAGCTTCACATAATATAATAAATAGTTTTTAGTAAGTAAAACAGAACTGTTTTTATGAGCAGCAGCAGTTACCTGCTCTTTCTCTCTGTGCAGGTGAGCAAAGACTCTGATGAGGAGTGGACTCACCTGAGTTCCCGGGAGGTCGATCCGTCTACAGGAGAGCTCCAGTCCCTGCAGAACCAGGAACAGAACAAGGACCCTGGGACACCGTCAGGTCCAACAGGTCTGAGGGAGGCGGCTCTGTACCCTCACCTGCCTCAAGGTGAGACCACCTCTTGTCCCCCCCTGATGATGTTTGACTGCGAGTGTGATGATCTGTATTAACCTCTGCCCCCCCCCCACACACAGAAGCGGACCCCCGTCTGGTTGAGTCTCTTGCTCTCATGCTGTCGATGGGTTTCACCGACGAAGGCGGCTGGCTGACACGTCTCCTTCAGGCCAAAAACTTCGACATCGGCGCTGCACTCGACGCAATCCAATACGCCAAACAACCCCGTCCACAGCAGCCTTGATGTCATCATGATGTCACTACTGACATTATTACTCAACCTTGATTTCTTGCTCAGTCAGATATTTATTTAATCTGACTTCATAATCAATCATTTATTACTGTTGTTAATCAGTTCTCTCTAACTAATCAGTATGTTTCCTTGATTACTGTTTCTACTTCTTATTTTTGTCAAAATGTTTGTTCTGCTGAACCATTAAAACATCAACAAACTGAAATGTGATCTCTTCAATATATCTGTTCATGTAAAAACAGAACAATAAACAGCTCAATAATAATCATCAGTTACTGTTTCAACTTTGTATCTTGAGGTTTTATTTTATTTTTTTAAAGACTTAAACTGAAATACTAAAGTTTTCATATAAAGCAAAAATGATGAAATAAAAAAGCAGAAACAGCTTATCGTTGAATAAATAAACACCTGACCTAACAGATGGTTCAGATGCTGAAGTGTTTTGATCAGAAGTTTGAACTCGACAGCGAGTCGTCAAAGATGAACTCCTCTCCACTTTCGAACATCGAGGAAACTGGAAGCAGGGGGCGGACCCCGGGACGGGCCAGGGTAGGAATGACATCAGTACCGAATGAAACCGCAGCTCCGCCTTCTGGCCGACTCCTCCCACTGCCTGAAGTCTCCTCCCCCTCCTCCACCTCCCGATCAGATCTGAGAAAACAAGCCCATCTGGAGCCTGGACCAGAACCTGAACTGGGAGGAGTTAACCTCCGCTTACTGGGAGGACTGGACTGGGTCGGACTGGTCTGGTTGGTCTGATTCTGACTGGTTTGGGTTGCTTTGTAGGTTCTAGTCATGCTGGGTGGATCCTGCTGCAAAAAGAGGATGTCAGGTGGTTAACTGGTTTGTAAAAAAAAAATGGAGGTAGCAACCAGTTGCGGTGAGGGAGATTTAAAGGCACAGTCTAACTTTTAACTCCGCCCCCTAAAGGTGGAGTCATCTGTCTGTTTGGTCCATTTACCATTTTAACGGTTAACCTTGCTTAGCATAAAACTAGTATCAGTATAGTGCACTAAGTTTCTGTCAGCTGAAATGAGTCCATTTGTTGGAAATGTTGGTGATATCATCATGTTACCTGTTCAGTTGTGCTAGTGTGGGTCCATCCTCCTCTCTTCCTCTTCCTGTCAGAACAAATGACAGAATAAAACATTCATTAATCTTTGTAGCTGTGATGCTGAACTAAAACCAGCAGCTGCATTTATCAGCAAATCAGCAGACCTATGGTGAGCCAAGCCCACCTGGCCAGTAAAGGCACACAGTTTGTACAGCCATAGAAAGCAGTTTGCCCTACAGAGAGACACAGGGGTGTTAATGTGAGTGAGTGCAGATTATTATTATTTTTTTTACTATTGTTAATATTAAAATATGTATTGTTGACATAAACATGAGAACTTAAAACATCATGTCTGAGTTTCTGACTCCACAGCTTAGTTACGCTGCTCACTTGTAAAGCGACCTGAGCGCCAGAGTAGCCTAACTAAAACGGAAAAAGAAAATTCAATTAAATTTGGGTGCACCTTAAAAAAGAAAGTTAGGCGCACTCGTGCAACCAATGCAAAAAGTTAGTCTGGAGCCCTGAACCCTCCTCACACTTGCTTGAAGTGAATGCTCCTGGTCATTTCTTGCGTTCTTGCACATCAACTCACTCAGAATTCCTGCAGAAGAACTACTAGAGGGCTGGCAGGAGGAATCACAGATAAAATGAAAAAATGGGGCAGTTTGCTTTGACACATGTAATATCAGGACTTTTTCAGGAGTTTTGGGGAAATGTGAAAGTAATTTTAGTTTCCCTCCTACTGTGTCTGATATAACTCAACTGTGTGTGATGATCTGTCGGGTCAGAACTCTCACATGTGTCATTTTATTCAATCATAGAATTTTGTCTTTGATCAGAAATAAAAATTTCCTCTAAAACCTTTTTATTGAAACAAGTATCATGAATGTTGGTTTAAATTGTTAGTAACTTTAGATCTGTGAAGGAGTCTCTACAGGTCTGTCTACAGGTGTGCTTTATCAAACATTGCTTACTGACAGGTAAGTGGGCGTGGCCTCTAACTACATAAGTACTCTCGTCATACCCGTCAGTCATACGGTTGGCATGGAGCTGCTTCATGTCCAACAAAAACTTCTCCTCATCCTCCTCCTCGGGCTCTGCCTCCTCAGGTGCATCCAGGTATTTGATCCAGCGGCTCACCTGAGCCTGACTCCCCTGAGCCTGACTCCCCTGAGCCTGACTCCCCTGAGCCTGACTCCCCTGTAGAGATGAAGTGAAACAGAGCTCAGAGCATTGAAAAACTGTGATTCAAATATTGATTTAATGAATGGTGTTTAATTGTGTCACAGGTAAACTCACTCATCATTGATCTGTTTCCATCTGCTTATTTCTAACATTCACACATCACAATTTAACGGATGTCAAACGTAATTTGAATTCAGAGAAGTAAAGTGAAATCTGATCTCAGGTGATCGAGTGTTCACATTTTAAGACACTTGTACTGAGAGCTGTCCACCTGTGATCTGATCACCTGTGAGTGGTGTGAACAACAGGTCTGAAGAATTCCCTTTTGTTCTTTTCTAACACTAACCAGAGGAGCATCTCAGGAGGGCGACTCTGACCGTGTTACTATAGTTAGGCTCATTTTGCATTATTATTTTGTTCAGTAGGGAGAGCGTCACTGCTTGATTATTTTGTCGTCTCTGATGATGCTGACAATGCGGTGTTCAAGGGTGGAAATAGTTTGATGTTCTGTTATCCTCCAGTTGCAAATATTTCTGGTTTTTCAGCCGGGATGTAATTTTTTTATTTTTTTGTACTGGGCTTAATTTTAACGTATCTACACTCCTGCACTTTAACATATATATCTTTGATTGCACAGCCATGAATTTGCACAGCTCTGGAGAACCCCCTATATCATTATTACATATTTCATCACTGTTTTTGCAAACTTACACCTCTTACCTCCAGCAAGTATTTTTACATTCAGTTGACAAGCCCGAATAAATGTTGTATTTAATTTTTCTTTTCTTTTTTAAACCAGTAAGAATGTTAAGTTAAATCCTTTATGTATAAATCTCTTCTTATTCTTGTGTTTTTTTATATTTTAAGTGCTTATTTACTATGTATCTATTCTTATATTGTTTTATTTGCTCTGATAACCTGCTGCTGTAACATCACAATTTCCCAGTTTGGGATCAAGAAAGTAATTCTATTCTATTCTATTTTAAAGTATTTTCTCTCCTGACTGACAGAATATACAGCATTTGTCCCATTTGTTTTAATACTGTTTTTTATTCAACCTCATCCTACTCCCTTTTTTTCTGCTCTCTTCTACTGAACAAAATAATAATGCAAAGTCAGACTCACTACATTATTGTCTTTTACGCTTTTGAGACCAATTAGGCAACTTGTCTGCTTTGAACTACATGGACGTTGAGATTGAGTAATGCTTGCTGTGACACTCCTAATGCTTTCTATGGCTAGATTCTGTGTGAGCATGGTCAGATCTTTGCTTATGTTTACAAACATTTCTAAGCCAATAAATTCCACTCTGCGTGGGAATACTCGTCTTACCCACGATCATTAAACAAACATCTGTGTGTACGCACTGTTGATAAATGAGGACCCTGCAGAAAGGCTGGTGTGTGTGTGTGTGTGTGTGTGTGTGTGTGTGTGTGTGTGTGTGTGTGTGTGTGTGTGTGTGTGTGTGTGTGTGTGTGTGTGTGTGTGTGTGTGTGTGTGTGTGTGTGTGTGTGTGTGTGTGTGTGTCATGAATCAGTGCTTTATGAGTTCTCAGGAAAAAGTGTTTGTGAGCAAGTGTGTTATCATTATTATTCCAGATATCTGTCAGTGTTAATATTTCTGGTGTGTGGTCACCTGCTGCTCTTCCTCAGGCTCCTCCTCCTCAGCCTGCTCCCTATTAACAGACATCAGATATCAGTAAACAGGATGATCGACAGGTGAGCACACATGATGACTGGTGAGGGGTGAAGGAGTGAATTGTGGGTCAGGATGGTTACCATAGCGACCAGGTGTTGTGTTCCTGCTCCTCTATCACAGCTCCTCTCATAGCGTTCAGTTTCTGAACATGGCGTCTGCAGTCGGCCCCGGAGCCCCGCCCAAACTCCTGCCAACCAATCAGCACGCAGTCAGCTGACACAGGTAATAACAGACAACTCTACCTTCAGTTCTGCTGGACTAATTAAATCAGTGTCCTAATCAATCAACTTATCAACTCATTGGATCATTTATTGATTGATTAAGTTCTTGTGCTGCATTCAGGTACTCTTTGGATGGTGGAAATTTCCGAGTTGGGAAGTTGTTCCTCTGAATTCAGTGTTTTCACTTGCTCTCAATTAGGAAAGTCTGAATGTTGTAACAACAAACAACATGGATTCTACTAAGAAGATGTGTAGAAACACTCCTACAAGTTTTGTCTGAGCAAAAAGTTGATGTGCAATATATAAATTACTAAAAAAGTAACTCTTATTGACAAACATATTTTGCGCCCCATCATGTGATGACAAATATGACATCAAGTCAGCAAGTCGGGCACCAGCTTGAGCAGGCATTCATGTGCATTTCCCAACTCATAAACTTGTATTCATGTTGTGTAGGACATGAATACAACATGGGGGCAAAACATGTTTTTGTTAATGTTAACATACTTTTTATGAATTCACGTATTGCACATCAACTTTTTGCTCCAATATAACTTATTACAGTTAGATTCCACAGATCTTCTTCTTCGTTGCATGTTTTTGTTGTTTATTGCTGTTGTTATAATCCCGATTTTCCAAACTCCCAACTCGGACACTAGGAAAGCCGAGCAGCACCTGAACGCATCATACGTTGTTATCACAGACACACAAACACTCGATGATGATGTCGTCATTATGTTTTATTCTTACTTTGAGCAGCGTCTGTTTCTTTCCACACAGCTTACAGCTCCACTTGTTCACCTTCTTCACCTGTCAGACACACACACACACGAGCATAGGTCTTAGAGTCCTTCATTTGTTGTATCATAGGTGTATCGCTTGCTTTGGTTACCTGTTGAACCTGGAAGCTCTGACAGGAGAAACACCTGACGACGTGAAACTCCTGACCCATGACGAACACTTCCAAAATCTGTCTGTGGTTCTGATTCTCTCAGGATGAGATTTCCCGGGTCTGTGGGTTAAGCTTCTTCTTCTGTGGAGATTTATGGCGGTGGGAATCCTTAAATGTTGCATTACCGCCACCTACTGGACAATATGAGTTCCCTCTATACCCCCTACCATGAACACAGGTTGAGTTTATGTTGACATCTGAGAAAACTTGGGTTAGGAGAAGGGTCTTGCATGGTTATTGAAATGTTTTATAAATATCTGTAGTTATATTTCCCTCAATTCAGGAATGACACCACAATTGAAGATTTTAACATGGAATTACAAATGATGCCCAATTTCACCAAAAGTGTTCAAATAACGTAGGCCTACACAAATTTTAGCTCACATTTAAAAAATTCAGAATCTTTGATTATCAATACCCAATTAGTCAATTTGCTGACAGTACAATACTATTAAAAGATAAATCATTTATTGGAAAAGCCCAAAACTTAGTCTTGATATTTGTATTTCTTCTCGTTCTTCCAGTCCTTACCTTACTGGAGGACAACTGCACCCATAAGACATGACAGAGTTTACAGCTGAACATTGACATCTTGAATGTTTAATCACTAAAGATGAAACCTGAGAAAATAAACAAGTAGGCCTATTTTCTTTGACTTTTATTAAACAGAACACAGATCGATAACTGAGCATTTAAATGGATGTTAGAGCAGACAAATAAATACAAAAATGACAGAAGAGAAAAAAAACGGACTAAAAACAGACAACTGACTTCATTGTTAAAACACTAGTGATGTCATCAGAAAGGCAGGAAACAAGGCTTCAGTGAAGTCAAAAATAAAAGTCTGCAGGTATGAATTCATCTGAGTGAAACAGATACAAGTTTCTTAAGGTTATAATACTTTAGGATTAATATACAGTTCATGAATGTGAACAGAAAGAAACACGTTTAAACATCGATTTATTTTGTTGTTTAACTGAGTCCGTAAACTTTTTTCTGAATGTAAAAACTTCATATTTCAGCCTGTTGGAAACATAAATCCACTTTTTAAAATCAATGTTTACATATTTGTTTATTCGCTGAGTCTTGTGTTATATTTCTTTAATCAGCAGATTGTTGTTTCTGTTCACTGCTCTTTACAACAACAAAGAAAGAAATGGTTAACATATACTTCAGATTTTTTACATTCAATAAAAGTAATTTTCTTATTCATTCATGTGTTGAAAAAACACGAGTGATGTCATCAGAAAGGCAGGAAACAAGGCTTCAGTGAAGTCAAAAATAAAAGTCTGCCAGTATGAATTCATCTGAGTGAAACAGATACAAGTTTCTTAAGGTTATAATACTTCAGGATTAATATACAGTTCATGAATGTGAACAGAAAAAAACACGTTTAAACATTGAACATTTGATTTTGTTATTGAAGGGTTTAGGTTTAGGCAAGCTCCTCCTCTCCTTCCTCCTCGAACTCTCCCTCCTCCTCAGCCATGGCGTCCTGGTACTGCTGGTACTCGGACACCAGGTCGTTCATGTTGCTCTCAGCCTCGGTGAACTCCATCTCATCCATACCCTCGCCGGTGTACCAATGGAGGAAAGCTTTGCGCCTGAACATGGCTGTGAACTGCTCAGAGATGCGCTTGAACAGCTCCTGGATGGCTGTGGTGTTGCCGATGAATGTGGCAGCCATCTTGAGGCCACGGGGAGGAATGTTACAGACAGCGGTCTTCACGTTGTTGGGGATCCATTCAACGAAGTAGCTGCTGTTTTTGTTCTGCACGTTCAGCATCTGTTCGTCCACCTCCTTCATGGACATGCGGCCACGGAAGATAGCAGCCACTGTCAGGTAGCGGCCGTGACGTGGGTCGCAGGCAGCCATCATGTTCTTGGCGTCGAACATCTGCTGGGTGAGCTCTGGTACAGTGAGGGCCCTGTACTGCTGGCTGCCTCGGCTTGTGAGGGGAACGAAGCCTGGCACGAAGAAGTGCAGACGAGGGAATGGCACCATGTTTACAGCCAGCTTCCTCAGGTCAGCATTGAGCTGTCCGGGGAACCTGAGGCAGGTGGTAACACCGCTCATGGTGGCAGAGACGAGGTGGTTGAGGTCACCGTATGAGGGGGTTGTAAGTTTAAGGGTGCGGAAACAAATGTCATACAGAGCCTCGTTGTCAATACAGAAGGTTTCATCTGTGTTTTCTACAAGCTGGTGGACTGACAGTGTGGCGTTGTAGGGCTCAACGACTGTGTCTGATACTTTGGGTGAGGGCATCACGCTGTAGGTTTTCATAATACGGTCGGGGTACTCTTCACGGATTTTGCTGATGAGCAGTGTGCCCATCCCAGAGCCAGTACCACCACCAAGAGAGTGTGTAAGCTGGAAGCCCTGCAGGCGGTCACAGTTCTCTGCCTCCTTCCTCACTACATCCAGGACAGAGTCCACTAGCTCTGCACCCTCCGTGTAGTGACCTTTGGCCCAGTTGTTACCAGCACCACTCTGGCCTAGAAGAGGAAAAGAAAGGGAATTAAGCTTAACAGTACTTAAGGCAAAATGAGAAGTAGCTAGAAATTTAAGGACAAATGAACAATTACCGTGAACCAAGTTGTCTAGCCTGAAGAGCTGGCCGAAGGGTCCGGATCTCACAGAGTCCATGGTTCCTGGCTCCAGATCAACCAGCACAGCACGGGGAACATATTTACCACCTTCAAGAAGCATATAATAATAATAACTTTATTTCTATAGCACCTTTTAAAAACACAGGTTTACAAAGTGCTTTGACAAACAGCAAAAACAAGAAGAAACTAAACCAAACACAGAAGAACATAAACAACAGCAAGAACAAACAAATGCAAAATACTAAAAATAATTAAATACAATTCACCAGAAAAGAACGGATAGTGCACGATACCCAACAGACATATATAACCCGACCATCACAAGAACCATCATAAGAACCCAGGCAACACAAGAACCCAACAACACGAGCTGAGACCAAGAGGAGCAAAGATTTAAAAAGATGTAAGAAACTGAAAGAGCTAAAAGTAAATAAAAGGATAACAGCAATAAGAAGGTAAGAGCAGAAAAAGAAGTAGAAACAAGTGGTTAGAGCAGGGGTGTCCAAAGTGTGCCTCGAGGGCCATTTGCGGCCCTTGAGGGAATTTTTTGCGGCCCGTGACTTCAAATGAAGAATCAGAAGATTTGATTAAGATTGGCACATTATCTTATTTTTCTTTTTCATGTTAACAAGGGCTGAACAATATTCCTAAAATTTCCACATTTTTTGTAAACTATGAAAAAAAACTCATGCACAGTTTTTGCAAACAAGCGGACTGTTGTTTAACCATTTAATGACCTGAGCTAAATGCAGAAAGCTTTTCCAAAAAACATGAACCACATTACAGGCTTGATTCTGAGAAAAAAAAACAAATAAAGTAGAACGAAGAAATCAAAATATTTGATTTCCTTTTATTAAAGGGTTTCTTTAGCGAGCCTTTTGATTCTGATCTACAAAGCCTTACTATTTTTTCAACTATATTTTAAAAAACAAAACCTGTGGCCCGCCAGCGATTCTAACAACAATTTTGGCCCGCAAGAAAAAAAGTTTGGACACCACTCGGTTAAAGGATAAAAAAAAAAAAAAAAAACACAACAACATTCATATAGGACGTGAGGGTAATGGTCACAAAAGAAATCCAAAATGTATATGGGTCAATGACGTGACGCTAATTTTTTTGTGTCCGTAAGGTTTACTTAACTTTTAAAGGCTTAAAATTTTTAAAAAATCCACAAATGACATGCTTTCATCCTTTGTTTTGAGGACCTAGTCTAAAATGTATATTTATTATACATTTTTAGAGAATAATTGGGGTATTTAGGTAAAAATGTCTAAGTGGTGTAACCGTTGGAACTTCATACCAAATAATTAAACTTGCTTTAAAAAGGTTACATTTTCATATAACACCCTATGAACTAGCCTGGCATAATCTCACATTAGAACTGTTCAATAGTAAATAAAAATAATGGAACATCATTGTTCTTATTATTTTATGGAAATCAGGTCGCCATTTTGTCTATATATTCATCATATATGACAAGAGATGATATCACAAAGAAGAACCCCCCGATGGTCCTAACTGCTGCAGGCCAAGTTTAGCAACTCTCTTTAAAACATGAGATAATTTGACATTTTAAGGGCGTGGTCAGGTATGTCAAATGGTATGACCTCAGAAAAACATCAACAATTTATGATAATTATAAAAATTTGTATTCACTTCAAAAATTAGATTTTAAATGTTCACACCAGGAAATGTGCTTACATAGGTCTCAATGATAATGCCTGTCAAATTTGATTTAAAGTGGAAATGTCAAATGGTGTAACCAGTTACACTATTTGACTTTTATGACAAGCCTTTCTGTTGGAGGCCATTTTTGTCAAATATCAGTATTTTTTTTTATGTTAATTAAAGTGGTTATCCATCCACAACCTTATTATCAAGGGTCTAATTTTGTAAATGTTTAGCTTCAAATTGCATATTTGTGTTCCATTCACTTACATTTATAAAGGTGCACTATGTAGTTTTGGTAGAGAAATGTGAAAGTTGGAGAAGTTTACAGATTATGTGGTATATGTCCATCATAACTCTAAACACAAACTGTCCTCTGAGGAAAATTTGTTCCCTGTAACACTGAAGATAAAATGCTACTGGAGAAGTCATGGTGGGGGGCCCGCAACAGTGAAAGTGTAACTCTCCTGGTAGCTTTATATCTCCAAACAGTGTTCCAGGAACCCATTTTTTACTTTGAATAAAGTTTGTGTATTCAGTTCATTTTCACTTCTCCAACTTTCACCACCACCAAATCTACATAGTGCACCTTTAAACATGTATGATCTAATATATGCATGTATGCTGTAATATTGGCACCAGTAGTTGCATTTTAGATGTGTCTGCCATTAGGGGCCATGTGGTAGGTAGCATCAGCGTGTCACTACCTGGAACTTGCCAGCCAAAGTCTGGTACTATAGAAGGTGGCAATGCTGTTTGGGCTGTGATGGCCATGATGTAAAGAAGGAGAGATGTAAAGTGTTGCCTGTTGGTATGTTATCCTTTGATTAGGGCACAAGTACCTTGAGTTTATTCCAAATACTCAAGAAATGAATTCCCCCCTGAAGATTTTGGTCAGATGCTATAATTTACTTAAAAGATATGAATTAATTAAGGATGCACCGATCCTGACTAAGACAGCTAGATCAGGTATCAGTAAGAATTTGCCGATCTATGAGACCATCCATTCACTTCAGTTTTATGCTATTCTGTGTTTAAGACAAATGTGCTACATTACTGTCATCAGCGTACTGGTATTCTGTGCACTTTGGTAGGTGGAGCAAACATAAAATGGAGGAATGGTTTGCATCAATTGGTGTAACCAGTATTTCTTGTAAAAAATATAATAAAAAAAAGGACAATTAAAGTTGAATAAAAGTAGTCCTCTATTGCAGTGAAATAACGTGTTTTTTTAAACAATTTTTACATAATTTGCCAAAACTTAATCACAAAACAGAGGTGTTTTCAGTTTCTTGTCCCGCTCAGTATTGAAAAAGGGCATAATTTATAAATTTAGGGACAATCCTAATAAAATCTATTTTTTTGTGCTATTTTAAAATGACGTAATTACAATTATGAGTACACTTACATATACTATAGATGTATAAAATATTCAATATTCTTAATTTTTCAGTGGTTACACCACTTGACATTTTTAGGTCCATTTCATCTTACCTTTTGAAAAAAAAAAACATTTAAATGTAATTTTAAAAAACACAAAACCAACATGAATACAAATCTCACATTTTAAATGAACCTGATGCATGCTTTCAAATTGTGTTTTTAAAAGATTTTTGAATTGGTCATCTGAACAACCCTTATTTGTTACTGACCCATATGCCTATTAAAACATCTAATTCAACCTTACCTACGGCTTCACTGTAGTAGACATTGATCCTGTCAAGCTGCAGGTCACTGTCACCGTGGTATGTGCCAGTTGGGTCAATGCCGTGCTCATCACTGATCACCTCCCAAAACTGAAATATAATTTAAAAACATTAAGACATTGTTGGCTGATAAAACATAAACAAGTGACAGGGGAATGAGTAGGCAGTAATGTTCAAGTGGATGCAGCTCATTATGTATCGGTTTCTTTCATTTTTAAAGCTGACGTAGCAGTTCTATACAGGTCGATTAGATAATTGTTCAACTACAACTTCCCGCCGTTCAGCAGTCTCATCGCCTATTGGCTGGTTATGAAGATTCCTAGCTACGTCATTAACCGCCAACAAGAGCCGGTGACCGTTACCAAACCAACGGACGGTCACTTCTGCGGACATTTCTCAACCATAAACACGCAGAACTTTGTTCAATTTACACAACATTACAGGCCCAGACGGGCGAAAACACTCACTTCATATATTTTCGCATTGCAGGAACGATTACGTCCACCGAATTAGATGAAAATAATGATTTTAAACCACTCAACGGTCAATCCTATCCGCGGTGGTTAACTGATATCTAACGGTTGAGTTCTTCAAACAACCGGCGTACAAATCATTAACACAATTTATCCGATTTGTAAATTAGGTAAAACCTGTACTAACCTTGGCACCAATTTGGTTTCCACACTGACCGGCCTGGAGATGCACAATTTCCCTCATTTTTTCTTTTTTTTTTGTTAGACTGACTGCTGCAATAAATCGACTTTAAGTGTCTGTTAGTGCGCGCTAACGGCGCAACCATCTATTTTATACTACAACTGAGCCCCGCCCTCTAACCCTCAGCTCGAACGTTGGTTGGCTCATTTCTTTACGCGTAATATACACGAACAGATTTAGACCAATGAAATCGTCCCTGTCTTCTCCACTATTGGTCCAGTGTGTCTGTCAATCACATTCGTGTCAAATGTATGACTACCGTCTAATCTGTCGACGTTGGCCGTGACGTTGGCCTACGTCCCTCATGATGGCGAAATAGAAATGCGACACCGACAACAGATTCATTTCATGTGATTCATTCATTTCACAGCGCATGCAAGCGTGTATAAATAAAATGAAACTCAACGATCAGATAATTTTTAAGGTCCCATATTATGCTTTTTCTGGTTTTATCAGCTCTTTAGTGTGTTTTCCAAGTGTCCTGTGCATGTTTAGGAACATCTATGTGCAAAAATCCAAAGTCCGCAGAAACGCGTCTTCTCCTACGTCCTCCTGTTAGCTGTAGCATTAGCTGCATGTAACGCTCGGTTCTAGCCCCCTCGATAAAAGGGGGAATTCTATTCTGCAAGACAGCAAGACCTGACAGCTGATCGTCCGGCCGACACGTGTTACTGTCTCTCTGTTTGTAGAAGTCAAACACACGCGTGGCAGAGCGCATCCGGTGACGTCAGACCTCAGTGCGCTTTAACAGCACTATCTATGGAAGCCCATTTCCGCCCGTTAAAAAAATAAAAATGAAAACTTGGCTTTGTTGAGATTTCTTTTTTGCCCATATTAAGTCAAAATTATGAGATAAAAAGTTATAATTATGAAATAAAAAAAGTCATAATGAGATTTAAAAAAAAGTCATAATTATGAGATAAAAAAGTTATAATTATGAGATTAAAAAAAACTCATAATGAGATTTAAAAAAAGTCATAATTATGAGAAAAAAGTCATAATTATGAGATTAAAAAAAGTCATAATGAGATTAAAAAAAAAGTCATAATTATGAGATTAAAAAAAGTCATAATGAGATAAAAAAAAAAAAGTCATAATTATGAGAAAAAAAGTCATAATTATGAGATAGTAGAAAGGAAGAAAACTTACTAAAGCCAAAGCAGTAGCTTTACTTTGGTGTGAGCTCTAGCTGCTGTTTAATATGATATGGATTGTGAGTACATTGAGACTTACTTTAAATGTGGTTATACCACAAATGAAATATTATCTTTGCTAGCGGACTCGCATGGGATAGTGCTAAGCACACGCACCCTTGAAAGGATTTAAAGGAAGAAGCAGCTCTGGCGAAGAAAGAATAAAACTGATGTGGCTGAGGTGGCAACCTTTATTGAGAATCAACTGGAAACATCTGGTCAGTGCCATGGTTACAGATGGATGCACCAAAAATGTTGGTTACATGGGATTGTGACTGACAGAGAGACAGTTTGAGTATTGCTGCAGTTATTTGATGGTGAAGGTGTTGATGTCAGGTCAAGAAACAGACTGCGGAGGCGTGTTTACCACAGCTGTGGTCCAAACTATGTTTGGCATATTGATGGCTATGACAAGCTTAAGCCATTTGGAATTGCAACCAGTGGATCCATTGATGGTTTTTCCAGGAAGATAATTTGGCTTGAAGCTTACAAAACAAACAATGACCCAAAGGTCATCACTGGCTACTATATGGATGCTGTGATTAATGCTGGTGGTTTCCCTGCCAGAATCAGACTTGACTTGGGGACAGAAAATGGCCATATGGCTGAAATGCAGCAGTTTTTGCATTGTTCTCAGAACCACTGTTCTCAGTGGTTCTGAGAACAGTGACATTTTGATAGCTGTTATATTATGCCTGCAACAGTAGTTGCAGTGCAAAAAATTACAATTTACTGGTATTCATGTTATTGTGCGAGCCAACTGTATGACAAGCAAGGACAAATCTCACAGATAAAAACCAACCATGGGTCAGGACTACGAGCCAGGGCAGTAATTACTAATGGCTTATATTTTATGCACTGACTAAATATGATGTGCCTTCTAGGAAGAACTTGATGAGGTTGTTCTGACTTGGAATAACCACAGTTATCCGAGTCCGTCAAGTCCACAACTCACGCTGACCTCATGGACGTCCCTCCATATTGCATGCAGTCCCTCAACTGTACGGAGACAGGGATTGTTTGCATTATGTGGATATGGATTTCGGGTGTTCATGGCTTCAGGTTACATGTATCGTGATGACCCCCTTACTCCTTACTCAGAGAGCAATGCGAAGGCCGATAGCCGCCTCACTGCAACACTTTGTTTACGTTTCAGGGACACCATCTAGTACCGTGAGCGTTAGCCTACTGTGTAGTAGCCTATAGGCTACGTAAACAGTAATGTAATGTGTTTAGTTCTAACGACAACCGGATTAAAAGACACAACTATTTGGGCTATCATGCATCTAACATTTATTACATTTGGTAGAAGGTAGTTACCTTGTTTAGGATTGCATAGCATGGCTGGGCGAGTAAGGGGATGCAGGGACTACAATGCCAGCTGGATCACATGACTTTTTTATCTCATAATTATGACTTTTTTATCTCATAATTATGACTTTTTTAATTTCATAATTATGACTTTTTTATCTCATAATTATGACTTTTTTTATCTCATAATTATGACTTTTTTTATCTCATAATTATGACTTTTTTTTAATCTCATAATTATGACTTTTTTTAATCTCATAATTATGACTTAATATGGGCAACAAACAAAAAAATCTCAATAAAGCCAAGTTTTAATTTTTATCTTTTTAACTGGCGGAAATGGGCTTCCATAACTACCAACTCATCTAAAACTTCCAAAGTTTCTGCATCCTGTACCCAGCCTGAAGAGCTTCCAACAAATCACCCGTAAGAAAAACGATTATCTGAGGTACAAGCACTTGTGGTGACTAAGGCACTTGTTAAGTTAAAGCACACTTTTCTACTTATTTCTTATTTTTTTAAATATTTTTTATTTTTACTCTTGACACACACACAGCAATACTCAGCAAATCATACACACAAACACACACACACACACACACACACACACACACACACACACACACACACCCGCAGGCATTACCCAGCGCACCTAGCACGAAAACCCGGGTCTCCCCATCAAACATCTGGTCATTAAAGGTATCCACACTGACATCACAGAAGATCAAATCAAACAGGAACTGGACCAACAAGGCATCAACATCTCCAAAATCCACAGGATAATCAGCAAAACCACCCAACAGCCAACCACCTTTATCAAGATCCTCCTTACCAACCCAAAACAATCTGCTGGCCTTCTCCACGAAGGCTTCTTTATGGACCTGTTTCAGTACAGAGTGGAGAAGGCCCGGCCCCCACCCACCATCCGGCAGTGCTTCAAATGCCAACAGTTTAACCACATATCCTCCAACTGCAATAACCCTGTCATATGTCTCAGATGTGGAGAAAATCACCATCACAAAACCTGCACCAGAGACAAAAGAGAAGCCAAATGTGCCAACTGCTCAGGACCACACTCTGCTGCATCCAAGACCTGCCCCATCTACCTTTCACACATGAACCCATCCACCAGAAGGCCCCCACCTGCCAGACTCTCTGTCAGGAAACCATCCACCACCAACTCCCCCAGCACACACCATACTTACAGTCCTGACAGCACTCGCCTCACCCACCTCCGCGATGACCTCAGCAAACTGTCAATGGATGACAATAAAATAGAATCAATACTACAAAGCATCAGAAAACACACCCACTTCATTATATAGGACCTCTCCACCCCCACCTCATCCCCCATCCAGGAATAATACATATCTGTCTACCTTATCTCCTTTTCATAATGACCCACACCACCTTCCTTCACGTAAACATCCGAGGAATCAGAGGATATAAAGAAGAACTCATCAATCTACTCAATAAAAAAAAACATCTTAGTCGCCTCCATAAATGAAACACTTCTGTCCAGTAAATCACGCATCAGCATCCCAGGTTACAACATCATCCGAAAAGAACGCCAAACAGGACATGGAGGAGGAGGAGTCGCCATCTTAATCAAAAATCACATATAATACAGTCAAACAGATTTTGGACTCTCATCACAGGAACTCAATGAAAATGAATATGTTGCAATAAAAGTTAAAATCCATTCACATCATCCCATCACAGTCACCAGCATCTATTGTCCCCCTGGAATAAAACCCTCAGCTCCTCTGCTCAAAGCCACCTCCAACCCCAGCCACTCTCTGATAATGGGAGACCTCAATGCCAAACACACAGACTTTCACTGCAGGAAAACAAACACAAGCGGAACTACACTCAGACAGATTCTACAGGACACAAATCTATCAATAATCAACACAAATGAACCCACCTACATATCCCCTCAGACCGGAAAATCAGACATTCTGGACCTCATCATATGCACCCCCAACCTGCCGACAAGACTCCACAGTTTCACCACCACAAACCATCTCTCAAGTGACCACCTACCAGTTCTCACCACCTTCTCCTTCAACCTTCAATCAATAACAAAGACAAAATACAACTACAGAGCAGCAAACTGGGATACCTATAGATCATTCAAGAAAAACTCAAGCTCATCACCCCAATTCCCACTCCCTAGAACCTGGATCAACATGCAACACTCCTCAGCCACCTACTCAACCAAGCCAAAGAAGAAACCATACCCACAAAATCTGCCAAAACCCCAACACAGTCATTACCACGACATCTCCTCCATCTCATCAGACACAGAAGAAGGCTGCGCAGAGAACTCATCCGGTCCAGGTCACCCCTCACCAAAACAGAACCCACCCTATCCATCTCAAGTACGTTCAGTGAATGAATCACTGACTGAACGTACTGAGAGGGAGAGAGAGTCTCGGAGCTCCCGTTCAGCAGAAGAAAAAAAGACTCATTATAGTGATTTATAAGGGACTTTGACAATGGATTTCTCAAAAAGTACACAGTAAAAGTACTTCATAGTACCTGTGCATGTAGTCTAAGAAGTACTAAGTCCAACCATATCAGAATCATTGTCTACTTATGGAAGAATTTTTGTTCACAAGACATCAAAGTCAGAAAAAAAGACTCATCATAGTGATTTATAAGGGACTTTGACAATGGATTTCTCAAAAAGTACACAGTAAAAGTACTTCATATTACTTGTGCATGTAGTCTAGGAAGTACTTAGTCCAACCATATCAGAATCATGGTGTACTTGTGTAAGAAAATATATATAATTATTGTTTTCTCCAAGAAAACTGTTTTTTGAAATTGTGAACACCTTATTTTGACTCGCAGAATTATTCTCACACTAACTTCCCGACCTATGAAACTATTCCCTGAACAGTATTGTGTTTACTCCCGTTTCATACATGTGTATCTCATAGTCAGTTTTATGGTAACGTAGACATTTAGCACTTCACTTCATGGCTCTCTCTGTCTGTTACTGCTGCTCGCTCTGGAGTCCGGAGCATTTACCATAAAGATCAGAATACGTGAGCACTTCAGATTTAGGGGCGGCTCACTTCACCAGGTAAACTGGAGGAGCAGCTGGCTTGACCGCTTCTCTGCTAAGAAGTGAGGTGACAACAGTTTCCTGAAAATTAGGTTCATGCATCTTAGAACAACTATGAAAATGAAAAGCAGTAACGTAAAGCAGTAGCCTATGCAACGCTTTACCGTAAAAAAATATTAGCCTAATTATTGGAGAATATTCAATTTGAAAAGGACCAGAAGTTGCCAATTAATGTGTAATATTTCAATAATACATTTTACAAGTTATATGCCCCGCTAGAAGTTATACAGCCAATTAATTATTTATACCTATCATCAGGCAGTTTCAGAAAATGAGTCAAGTGATGACGTCAAAACGTAGCCGGCTGATTAGCGCTTAATCAGACACAGGTGTAATAAAAGAGCACCTTTACCAGCTCCCAATCGTTGCTGTTCATTTGTTGCTATTTGATGGTTTTTGATTTTCCAGGCATGCAAATACAAAGTGTTTTAATTGTTGGGTGAAATCAGAATCAAAATAGGCTTTTCCTTTTGCAACGTAGTCATGCAGTATGTTCTGCTGCTCCAGGTGTGCCTCTGGATTCTTGGTAAGTGGCATTTTCTTTTGACATCTTTTCTTTTTTTACGAGTTTAAATTGGATTTAAAGGTCATTATTTGCACAAACCTTACTGGTGTGTCAGCACCACAGCCGGTCTCAAATCTGGAACACATTTGGATTAGCATGAGGTTATTCCTTTCTCACCTGCAGCCCTCAAGTCTCAACAGTTCTGCTTTCTACTTTAAGAAGTTCTGTTCGTCTACTTTTGAGTGATGGATGGTGTGTGGTGGCTGTGTGTCAGACCCTAGATCAACATGAGATACTTATCTGTGTACTGTTGAAGAGAATTATGGGGTTAAGAAATCACGTTTTCTCTTTTGTTTTATTCACATTAGGGTGAGTTTAGAAGGTATTTATGGAGGACGAGATCTGACAAAGTATAAATAAATAAATATTGGAATAAGTAAATAAAATAATGAATAAATAATTAAATGTGTAAATAAATAAAACTGGTAAGTAATTAAATGTCTTAAATTTATTTCTACATGTATTTATTTCCACATTTACTCATTTCTACATTTATTTATTTCTACATTTCTGTGTCCGTATGCTAATGAGGTAGGAGGCAGTTATCATGTGGGAGCCTGTGAACAATTCAAATTCACTACTACAGAGATGTACCTCTTAAATATGCATATCAGACTTCTTTATGCAGTATATTGATTTATTTCCTTTTGTTCCTAACTTTATTTGCAGCTGTCTTTTCATGAAGGGTGTTGTGTCTGCATGTTTTCTGTGGCTTTGAGCTACACTGCCATTAATCTTGTGCTTCACTTTTTTTTTTTTTTCAGCCAAAAGTGATGATCAAATATGTACAAATGAAGATACTTGTGGAGGCCAGAGCCAACCTGTGCAAACTCAGTGTTGGGCACTGGGAGGTGCTCACTATTACACTTTCAATGGAAAGATGTTTGAATTTCAAGGAAACTGTACCTACACTCTGATGCAAGTTATGAATGACACCACTGGGAAGGATACGTTCTGGGTCGGGATACAAAAAGACAGAACCCCGAACGACGCCTCCTCTATTAAAGCTATTCATGTCAAAGTTGCTAAACACAGTGTTGCAATCTACAGAGGGGAAAGAGGCCATGTTTGGGTAAGTGTGCCACATCCTTATCATCCTTACTTTGCTGTCAGACTTTAGCTATAACATTCTTTATTATTAAAAAAAGAAGCCAGTTGATAATACTTAAAGTTTTTTTTTTTTTGCTTTGCCATCTACAGTAGATGCACAGAATAATGTATGCTCTCTGAAATGTGTTCATCCTCTCTACAGATCAATGGAGAGAAAAAACTATTACCCTTGAATCTACAGTTTGGATCCATAAACATTGCCCAGAGTGGTTTCTTTGTTGTTGTGGATACAAGTCTGGGCATTCAAGTGAAGTATGACTACTCTCATTTTGCCACTATTCTCCTCCCTAATACAACAGCAGTCAATGGTTTGTGTGGGAATAATACTGGCATTGAAGAGGGTGATCTCAGGAGCCCTCAGGGTAAGGCTGTGGATGCTACCACCTTTGGCTGGCACTGGAGAGTTCCTGATCAGGAAGCCTGGTGTACAGCAGACTGCGGAGATGCTTGTCCACGGTGCTCTGCTGAACAGCTGCAGAAGAAAAATGTAGCAAGGCAGTGGATCTCTTTGCATGAATACATTTGGTCCCCACAAAATCCATTCTACCTGTGCAAAGACATTGTTAACTACACCAAGATCTCCACAGCCGTGAGCATATTTGACCTGTGCTCTAGTGATGACCCTCAGAAGACCCTGTGCCACATCTTGGAGGCATACGCTGCAGCCTGCCAAAAGGCCCAGATTGAGGTCGGGGAGTGGAGGAATGGCACAAACTGCTGTAAGCTTTGTTTTCTTTTACTGATAACTTGTTTGATTTTTACATGATGTGTAGAACAACAATGCTTTAACAGAACTTCCCTTTTAATCTTAATGAAAAGTTACTAACTACACATGTGCAGTACACCAAATCCCTCTAGATTATATCTGCTGCGTCAAGAATGTTTGAAGTTTCCTTAACATGGTTACTGATTTTTCTCTCCTATCAGCGATGTCATGCCCTTTGAATAGTCATTTTGAGTCCTGTGGCACAGCCTGCCCCGCCACCTGTGAAGCCCCTCTAAATTCAAACCTCTGCACCCTGGCCTGTGTGGAGACCTGCCAGTGTGACCCAGGATTCGTCCTGGATGGTGACATCTGTGTCCCGTTTTCCCAGTGTGGCTGCGATCACAACGGCGACCATTACCGCAGAAACCAGACCTTTTGGGCTGATGAGAGATGCACTGAAAAATGTGTCTGTGACCCCCACACCCACCAGACTCGGTGCCATGTGGATTCTTGTGGCCCTGATGAATCCTGCACTCTTGAAAATGGAGTCAGAAGCTGCATATCTCACCCGCCGCAGACATGCATGTACAGCGGTCATCACATAGTGACCTTTGACCAGCATGACTATGATTTGCATGGCACCTGTCAGTACCAGATACTTGGCATGTGTGGAAACAAGCAGGGCCTACATGCCCTTCAGGTTCATGTGCAGACAGATGGACACCTGGAGTCAGCACTTAATGTTCTGGTCAATGTGAGCGGCGTACTTGTAGAGCTAAACAGCAAAAACATGGAGAGCTTAGAGGTAAGTGCTTATGAATGTTTCAAGAGTGCATTTTTACCCTGTTATAGGTTCATGAATAGATAAATGCTGTAACAATTAAACCACACTTCACAAAGTTTACTGTGGAAAATGTGTTTGTGTTTCAAATGTAATGTTGGCACCCCCTACAGGTTGATGGTGTCATAAAGAACATGCCCTATCACCTGGGCCCTGCTGCACTGGCTTTCTCTCTGGGGATGCACACTTACATCCACACAGACGTGGGCTTTGAGTTCAGCCTCAGCACAGACGGCATAGTTACCATTGGACTGTCCAGTAGATATGCTAATGCTGTGTGTGGCCTGTGTGGTAACTTCAACTCTGATCCTGCTGATGATCTCACAGCAAGTGGTGCAGAAGAGCATCTCAGTCATGACCATCTCAGTCATGAGCATTTTGGAAAAGCTTGGAGGAGTGGGCAGAATCCCTGGTGTGTGGACGGCTGTCTAGGAGGAAGTTGTCCAAAATGTTCAACTGAGCGTCTGGCCCACTTCTCTGACCCAGAGGCTTGCGGGAAGATTCTAGAAGTTAATGGACCATTTAGACATTGTCATGGCCAAGTGAACCCCTCCATCTTTTACAAGCGCTGCGTCAGTGACCTGTGTCTTCACGGCGGTCTCCAGCCTGCACTGTGTCACTCCTTGGCAGTGTATACTTCTGTGTGCCTCTCCCACAGAGCTACAGTCTATGCCTGGAGGAGTCCTGGATTCTGCGGTGAGTGTTCATGTGCTCCCAGCCACTGTTGCGCTAGTGAATTAAATTAATATCCTTTACAATTGTAACTGTGCTGTTTGGAGTTCAGCATCATTGCACACCAAATGAAATCTGGAGTTTGCAGATGCTATTTCGTGTTTAGATTGTTGATATCGATCATGTTACATGAGTTTATTTGCATACAAATCAGATGAATGCCTGTAGGTGCTTGATGTAAAGATATTTAACTATAAATTCTATAGTATGCTATGACTCATTGGTATTGAGGCCACAACCTTTCAGGTGCTATTGGACCACTAGATGGTACTAATGCATCCCTGGTCAACCTTAACCTTTACAGTATTGTCCTGTCTTCCTTTCCTAAATAACTGATGTCTCTCTGTTTCTCTACAGAGTCTCAGTGTCCCTCCAGCAGCAGTTACAACATGAGTTCTGCCTCTGTTCACCTCTGTCTCGGCTTGCAGAATAACACTCTAGAGATGCCTCTGAACACAGGGGAGAATTGCCTCTGTGAAGCAGGTTTAGTTCACAGTGGCAGCCAGTGCATCTCTGCAGAAAACTGTGGCTGCTTTCACCAGGGACAATACCTGCAGGCAGGACAGGAGGTGTCAACATGCGAAAAAATCTGTCGATGCAATGCTGGGGGACGCGTGACGTGTCGTAATACATTTTGTGGGAAGGATGAGGAGTGTAAGCTTCTTAGGGGCGTTCAAGGTTGCTACCCCAAACCCAAACTGGCACGCTGCTCTGTTGATGGGTCCCAATACACTACGTTTGATGGACGGGCATTTGAATTTCACGGTTCATGTAACTACACCCTGGTGCAGACGTGTGCTCTCAAGAAGCTGGATGTGGAGCCTGTTTTCATAGCTGCAAAGCAAAACCATGGCAAGGGAAGGCAAATCTCCTTTCAAGTCAATAAAATGTATTTTGAGATATCGGCAGCTTTTCCTGGAACTATTTTGGTAATTTATGTAACGATTTCACAACCTTCAACATGATTTATTGTTTAGTCATCTTTCATAGTATACACAAACTGTACTGTATATTGTGTTTAAAAATGATTTATTTCATCTAGGTAAATGGAGTCAATGAGAACCTGCCGTTCTCCCAAAGCAATTTCACAGTGCACCAAAAAAATGGATGGATAACCATGAAGACACCACAGTCAGTTGAACTGATTTCAGACCTTAAAAACCACATTCTGGTCAAAATCCCAAACATTTACCACCAGACAACCTGTGGCCTTTGTGGAAACTATAATGACAATCCCTCAGATGACTTCCAGCTGCCCGATGGCTCTGTGATCTCTGAACCTGAGGTGTTTGGGCCCTCTTGGAAGCTACTTGATGATAAGACATCCTGCAGCGACGTATGTGATGGCACCTGTCAGTCACCTATCCCAGAGTACACCTCTGCCCTGTACTGCGGTCTTCTGACTCATCCCAAGGGACCCTTCTCTTCTTGTCAACATTTAGTGGGCCCACAGAAATTCTACTCGCTCTGCATGAAAAATCTCTGCATTTCACAGGGGCAACACCGGGCCCTGTGTGATGCACTGTGGGGCTATGAGGCAGCCTGCAAAGAGGCTGGAGTGACAGTTGACCTCTGGACAAACACAACAAGCTGTGGTGAGTCTCTAACCACTCGGCTAAATGTTTCAAATGAAGTCCTTGGAATTTTTAAGAGTAAGACAGACTTCTGTATTTTTGTTTCGCAGCTCATCAATGTCCTCAATTCAGCAACTACAGCCACTGTGCCAATGTCTGCTCCTCACTGTGTCCTGAGATAAGCCAGGGAGTTCAGTGCCCTGGAGACTGTGAGCAAGGTTGCCAGTGTAATATTGGTCACCTATATGATGGCAATGCCTGTGTACCAGCAGAGCAGTGTGGATGCGTACAGGACGGGAGGAGGTTTAAGGTAAGGTCATGATCACACACTGTTCTGTGTCCAGGCCACTTACGAATTGTTCATTTAGCAAGTTTTGCACTTTTACTTATGACTTTTTGTCTGATAGCGAGCTTGAAGTTTTACCTCTTGAGTAGCAATCCAACATTTTTCATTGGCTTCTTTCATGTCATTGTTTCTAACTCCAGGCTGCTGAGAGCAAACTGCTCCATAACTGTGCTGTTAACTGCACCTGTGGGCCACCTCTAGTATGTGAGCAGTACTCATGTCCTCCACTGCACAAATGTGTTGTTTCAAATGGGGTCATGGGTTGCCACAAAGATGGTGAGCATTTAAATATATAAAAATGAATTATTTGACGTGTCGCTCATACTAAAGCGAATGTATTTTCCTTTTACAGAACCAACCTCGGATCCATGCGAGGGAAAATGTGACGAAAAGGAGAAGTGTTACCTGAGCAATGGTGTTCCTGTTTGTGAGAGCCTTGGGGGTCTGTGTTGGACCTGGGGAGGCCAGAACTACCATACCTTTGATCGGCTAGACTACAGCTTTGAGGGTACTTGCACATATCTGCTTGCAGCCAGCAAAGGAGAAGCAAGTGGGAAGACACCCTTTAGTGTGTCCAAGAAGAATCTCTGCAACAGCAGTAGTGCTGCATCTTCTACAGAGGTGGTCACTGTACAAACGTATGGGTTCAACATCAAGCTTGGTGGCAGAAATGGCAGCGTAAATGTAAGTGAAGGCTGGTGTCTGAATGACCAAGTTGCTCAGTATTGCTCTTACTGTTTACAACTGTCCTTTTTCTTTCTTTTCTTTTTTCCCCAGGTAAATGGCCAAGTGAAATATGTTCCTGTTAACCTGCTGCAGGGTAAGATCCAAGTCTCTGACGAAGAAGGTAAAGCTCAGCTGAAGACTGACTTTGGCTTGCATGTTGTCTTTGGTGGGAACTCGACTGTTGTGGTTACACTGAGCCCACGCTACAAGGGCCAAGTCTATGGTCTGTGTGGAAACTTTAACGGTGATCATCAAGATGAGATGGCTGTAACCATGCCTGGTTCCCCTCCTTCTAACTCAAGTGTTGAGTTTGCTCAGGCTTACCGGCTCTCTGATGGAGACGACACCTGTTCCACTGGCTGTAAGCAAGAACCTAGAGTCACCTTCCCTGCAGGTCCTGTTTCTGAAGTTGCTGCTAGTAACGGGAAACTGTGTGAAGTGCTTAAGGATAAGAGGGGTCCTATGGCCTACTGTCATAGTCAGTTTGCTCCTGATTCCTTCTATGAAAGCTGCTTAAGCAACCTCATGCAAAATGGAACGTTGCAAGCTGCTGTTGACCAGGCAATATCTTCATATTCTATCATTTGTGAAGCATTCAGCGATGGCTACCACACTGACATGACAGTTGGTAAGTAGTTGTGTTGAAGGATTACAAAAAAAATGATTATTATAAGATTTCTAAATTACAAAAACAATGTCATTTCAGATGTGCACTGTCCACCAAACAGTCATTACAAGACCTGTGGCACAGCCTGTCCTCCATCCTGCGAGTATAAGGCCATCGCCTGTACAATGGCCTGTGTTATGGGCTGCTTCTGTGACCCTGGATTTATCAGGAGTCCGACTGGCTGCGTGCGTCCACATCAGTGTGGCTGTACTGACTCCACAGGCAAATACCACAGCCTCAACTCAACTTACTGGACCCCAGACAACTGTGGTCAGCTCTGTAGATGTGGACCAGCTACTGGAGAGGTCCACTGCCAACCGGCCCACTGCCCGAGAGGAATGGTCTGCAAGCAGCTACATCGCAAGAAAATGTGTCAGCCTGAGAAACCCATGAACTGTACACTGGTTACAGGGATGCATTTTACAACCTTTGATGGACATCATTTTGATTACAGAGACAGTTGTTCATACTCTTTGGTTCAAACCAAGTCTAATGTAACAGAACTTGCACCGTTCACCATCTCTATCTCTGATGCAATTTGTCACAAAAGGCTTTTTAATAGCCTCAACTTAAATCTGTCTATCTATGATTTGGAGGTTGTGGTGGGAAAGCATGACCCAGGAAAGATTTTTGTGAGTACTGTTTAATCTCTTAACTTCAGTCTTCCAAATCAACAACTATAAAAGCATTTTAATGTGTTCTGTTCTTTTCATTGGCAGGTTGATGGACTTCATGAGCCCTTGCCATACTCCCACCCCACAGGCCATGTTAATGCCTACCGCACACCTTCATCCCTTGTCATTCATACCGATGTGGGCCTACAGGTGGTCGTCTACAACTCCGGCACTCTTATGGTTATTCTCTCCAGGAGCTATGCCTCATCCGTCTCTGGTCTTTGTGCGAATGCAAACTCTGACCCTGAAGATGACCTCATGATGCCTGATGAAGAGCAAGCCCAAAATACACTGGAGTTTGTCCACAGCTGGAGGTCTCGGGGAGCCGAGGCCTGCAGGGACGACTGTTTCTCCAGACTGAAGGATTGTCCGGCTGAGATGCACAAGCTGTTTGAAGGCAGCGATTTCTGTGGGGTGTTGTTGAATGAGCTTGGGCCCTTTGCAGACTGTTCCTCAGTTTTAAGTCCCAAGCATTACTTTCACAGTTGTGTAGAAGATGTCTGCTCTTACAGCGTACACTACTCTGCGCTCTGCAGCTCCATTGCATCTTATGCAGCTGCCTGCCAAGCAGCTCAGCTACCAGTGAGGCATTGGAGAAGTGACACTTTCTGTCGTGAGTACATGGTTTAATCTGTGTCTTCATCTGTGACATTGTATTTATCTTAACTGCTCACAGCTGATTAGTGTCCAGACTCAGACTTGAAACATTTGATGTGTGATACTTAAAATGTCTGTCAGTGTTCAGGACTGTCCCACTGTGAAATTAGAAATTACTTGAGAGCTCACTTGTTTACTGAGGCTTTAATGAACATTTTATACTAGGCAGTAATCATGCAAAATCCCAACAAATGGACCATAGTCCATAATTTTTACAAGGATGGGAAGGCACCCTGCTAGTTTAGTTGGAAGGGGCAATTGAACCAAGTACAGGGTGTAAAATAATAGCTGCAGTGTCACTGGTTAGATTTTAAACCCTTTGCCTAGATGGTTGCTCACTGTTTCCTTCATGTAGCCTGCCAGGCAGAAAAAGAAAGCACCTACCTGAAACATGGCAAGACACCGTAAATGAAAAGAGGCTTAGAAGAGGAGAGAAGTACTGTGCAGTTGTTCAAATGTATTTTTTAGAATAAATGTATCAAATTAACAAACATTGCGACCTCCTCAAATGGCCACAGCTCCAAAAATTAATCGGGTTGCCAAAGTTTTTTTTTTGTTTGTTTTTTTTTCCCATTATTTTTTAAAAATGTACAAGATGATTAATGTGATATTGTAACCATGAAGGTCAATATTTAGAGAATGTTGAATGGGTTTTGGCTGAAAGTATTCATATTGAAGCTTGCGTATGAATTGAATGCTTAATATTTTAGATCCTCAAAAACAAGTTTAGTTGTTGTTCAGTGAAATTGTTGGCTCACTTACTTGCTCTCCCTCTAGGTATGTCATGCCCCAAAAACAGCCACTATGAGCTGTGTGGACCTCGATGCCCTGTTGTGTGCCAAGGACTGTCCTCTCCAGCAAACTGTAGCGGAGGTTGTGAGGAAGGATGCCAGTGTGACCACGGCTACGTCTTGAGCGATGGTCAGTGCGTGCTGGTTTCTGACTGCGGATGCATGCATGACGGACACTATCACCCCGCTGGCCCCTTCTTGGAAAACTGCCAGAAGTGTAACTGTGAAAGAGGACTGCTCACCTGCGTTACCATCGCGGACTGTTTAGTAGAGAAGGGCCCTGCCTTGCAGTATGGTGTGTGCCAAGTGTTTGCTGGTTTTGGCTACATTACATTCGATGGTGGTGTTCTGCGTCACCATGGAGCTTGCACATATCTATTGTCAGCTGTCTCCTCTAAGGCTACTCCAGACTACACTCTTCTAATAAGCTTCAAAAATGAAAGCAGTGGAAACTTCATAATCAGCAGACTAGTCTTTCATATGCTTTCTCTTGAGGTGTCTATTGACCCTGACACTCTATGGAAAATACAGGTAAGTGCTGCATGTTGTACACATTTAAGTGTTGGAGAAAAGTTTGATCAGATCTTTTCAGCTTTAACTATTAACTTTTTACTGTTTAGGTTAATAAAGAAGAGCGCAGCGTCCCTTTTGACACTGGTGAACTTCAAACATACCAAGATGGCAACAGGCTGATTATCAAAACACGATCCGGGTTGGAAATGTCCTTGTCCTCTACACAATACCTCAGGTTAACTGTACCCCAGATATATGATGGCACAGCTTCAGGCCTCTGTGGGAACTTCAATGGGGACAAGTATGATGACATGGAACTGAGAAATGGTCATCTCACCAGCAGCTTTGCGGAGCTCCTGCACAGTTGGGCAGAGTTGGCTCCTGGAGAACACTGCGCCGACACCTGTGGGAGAGAGTGTAATGAGTGCAGCCTGTCCCCACACAACGGCAGTGTCTGCGATGTCCTGTTGAGCATTAGTGGTGAATTCAGCCAATGCTGGAGCAGCAGTGTGGAGTGGGAGGTTAACATGCAAATGTGCATAAGGGCAGTTTGTGCCGGGGCAGGAGACAGGGCCGTATGTCTTGCACTGGAAGCACTTTTTTCAGCCTGTGAAGCTAAAGGAATACCAGTAGGACCATGGAGAGAGAATACTCGATGTAGTAAGTGAATCATTTTTATCACAGGTTTAATCAGGACTATGAGATGCAATCTGAAGTATTTATATTTTCTGCCCACAGCTCTTCAGTGTCCTGACCGCAGTAGCCCAAGTGTCTGTGTTGAGTCCAATTCATGCTCTGCTTTGCTCCAGCCTGGTTCTCCAGCAACCAGCTGTTCAGAAGGCTGCCAGTGCCATCACCATAATGTGTTTGATGGGGGAGAGTGTGTGCCTTACAGTGAGTGCGGGTGTCTTCTTGGTGATAAATATATCAAGGTAAATATTACACCTTACCACTGACAGAGAAACGGTTCCCTTGAGGACAAACCTGGCATTTATGATCTACAGGGAGGGGGATCTTCTAGATCCTATAATTAAAATACTTTATTATATTATTGCAGGATCTCAAAAGTACAATTTATCATTTGATATTACTTTTGCATTCATGTTTTAGATTGCATTTACTTCTGAAGTTTCTTTAACTTATCTTAAAAATATTTGAGTGAATAGAATTACTTTATTGATCCCCAAACTGGGAAATTGTGGCGTTACAGCAGCACGTTATACAACACACAATGAGTAAATAAGCACTAAAAATATCAAAACTAAGAATGTGAATATATACAACCAGGATTTAACTAAGTATTACTAGTCTTGAATATGGAAGATTAAATGTAAATGTGCAGTATTGACATAAGTTAAAGTGCATGAGTGCATCTAAAGTGTTCGGTTGTGCTCTGAATTCATGTGCTGATTATCCACATCAATTGATGATACACTTAAGTGACACTGTGCTCATAAATCAGAAGTCCAGGGTTAAGATTTTGTGTTTATCAAGTATTTATGTCAAACTGTTGCTCCAAGCATCAAGTCATAATTTGTGAAGATGGTTAAAATAAGTTTTAGTAGACGGGAGAGGATTGAAGGTTTTTCTTGAATATGCTGTTAAGTGGTTTATTTTTTTACAAACTATAATTTTGTACAGTGTTTGTGAAAATCTAAAATTGTGAAATAACTTAAGATGTCAGATTAATGTAATAGAGTAAAATACTCATAAATGAAGTGAGGTAAAGGGAGAGGAGAGACTCAAGCACATGTTTTTTTTTTTTTTTTTTAAATTGCAGCTCTTAATGTCTGTCAAAGCTCACACACGGTTTTCAAAGCAACTTCCTAATCTTCTCTCTCTCTCTCTCTCTCTACCCCTCAGAGTGATGAGCTCCTCTACACAGAGGACTGCACCCCAGAGATGTTGGTGTCACCCTCTCAGTGGGGTGCTTTGTGAGGATGCAGGCTGTGATTCAGAGCAGCAGTGTACTCTGAGGAATGGCTCTTGGAGCTGTCAGGATAGACCTGAAGTTTGTGAGCTCAGGAACAGCCTCCAGGTGTCCACCCTCAGTAGTCAGCAGCTAATCCTGGAGCCCAGCGTAGCGTACAGTCTGATGTCTCTGTGCGATGAAGCCAGTGCGCAGTGGTTCAGTGTGATGTCCTACTATGGACCTTGTAATGGCAGCTCCAGACCAGTCAGTGTGTTTCAAATCCTCCTGCACGGATCGTCGATCGCCATTCAGGATGGTACAGTAAAGGTATAACTCGGTTAAAGGTTTTGATGGTAACAAACTAAAAGTCATTTTGAAACCTTGTCTGTTTGTGTGAATTTACTGTCCTGCTGTCGTGTCCCACAGGTGAATGGACAGTTTGTGTCCCTCCCTCACATTTTGCCATTCAGGGTCTCCCTGAAATCAGGAATGAGCCAGGACAAGTCAGAAGTCACTGTGATTCTGAGCAGAGATGCTGGGATGGAGAAAGAGCTGGACATAGAGATTGGTGTTACCATGGTGACAATAAAGACTCCTCTCTGGTACTCGGAAAAATTGTGTGGTCTATGTGGAAACCTGAACGACCTCCACTCTCTCGGCTCGGTCAGGTCATGGGCCCGCTCTGACTTTCCAGGCTGGTGAGTAATGTTCTGCGCAGCAACAGAACTGTGTCTGTCTGTTAAACATTTTATAATGAGTGTTTTCTCTCCTCACAGCGGCTTCACCGGATGATAGCTGTCTGTTTTGATTTTCTATGAATATGTATTGTTTTCAATACAAAACAATTTAAACAACTCTGTAGTGGCTTCATTGAAACTCTGGATATCTTGACATTTTCTTGTACATTTATACATTACACTGGAAGCTCTTATCAGTGAGCCCATATACCTTTTGTAATCAGGTCATCTCCAGCCACTGTTGTTTAGGTTTAAACTAATAAAATAATGAGGGTAAATGTTATCTTAATCCACCATGTGTGTACAGGAACTAACAGGAGTAGTATTGCTTTGCCCAGAGGGTTCTGACCAGATGAACCCCAATTAAACATTTGAGAGTTATTAAAGTTTTGTTTAATTAAAATCTAATGGAAGCTTTTCAGGGCTGGATCATATTTACTTTTTATAATTTTTGATGCAACCTCTGCTAGATTCTTGGGTGTCACCCAAAACCAGCTGTGTCTTTCACAGCCCTAATACAGCAATTGAAAATATTAGGTTGTAAAGGATCGTTCGGTTTCGTGCCATGTTCCAAACATTTTGCAGGAATGGACGTTGGATACATGATTTGTCTACAAGCATAAAGGACGAAAGATAAATCTGGGTGGATCATGTTTGTTTAGCAGGGCTTATATATGCTTGACATTTGTTTTTGATAACTAAAAATGTAGATGACAAACACAGAAGAGCCAAAAAAGTAGGGAAATAAATTGATATACTTTCAAATGCCAGTCATTTTTTTTTTTTTTTTCTTTTTTTAAATGAGTCATCAGAGGTGAACCAATTCTACTGTACATATCTGAAAAAATTAACTGCCCTTGCTAGAAAAAAGGTGTAGTCTATGAAGATGATACAGAGTAGTCTGCATCTTAAGACCTCCCCATCTCAACCACTATCATTAAATTAATCTGAAGTGTCTGTCTCTTTGAAGATATGTTGAGACCTCGCTCACCACATTTCTACCTTACCTGAGAGGTGTTCCATAAAGTGTTGAGCCTTCAATGAGTCTCGCTCATTTCAGTGAGAATGACCGTGGCTTGTAGGAGTCTCAGCTCAGTTACCATGGTAACTTAGTCATCAGAGCTAGCCTACTCTGGGGCAGGATAAATGTCCAGCCTAGTCTAGCTGTGTATCAAAGAATGACTAAAAAAAAAAAAAAAAAGCTAATCAAAAGAAGGTTCTGCCATGTCTTCTGTCACGTTGCTGACATATTAAATTAGGCTACGTTGATGATGTTTTTATAACCCCATGATTGTGTTCAGAACATACATCTAAACTAGCTGTCGCAATATTTGCACAAACAAAACTAATGTTATCCGAGCAGAAGGAATAATTCATTGATTTGTGATTTGTATAACTCTTATTGGTTGAAAATTGTCCCTATATGTCCTGATTGGTGGAACCTGGAGCTCTTCTATCATATTTTAGTGGGTTTTAAAGTTTTTCCTTTTCTCTTATTGTCTCTTGCTATATCCACTCTGTAATTTATGTGATGAATATCACAACATCTTGCTGGCTGCAAAACAGAACTACCTACGGGTAAAAATAAAGTAACCTGAACCTGAACAAAGCGAAGGAGTTCAAGTACTTCAGAGTCATGTTTACAATTGAGGGTAACATGTATTGTGAGATGACAGATTGGTGCAGCAGCAGTAATGCAGGCCTAATACTTATGACTGTCTTAAAGAAGAGGGATCTGAGCATGATGTCAAAGCTTTTGATTAACCAGCTAAGCATCCTGGGTTTCTCCTACTGGGTCTACCTCGGGGGGTCTGGAGGGATTACATGACCCAGCCGACATTGGAACACCTCAAAATCCCCCAGGAGGAGCCAGAAAACTGGAAAACATTGCTGGGAAGAAGGACAAATTGGATGACTTGTCACCAGGACCTGGCCCTGGATGAGCAGAAGAAAATATATGGACGGAGGGATGTACCAAAAAAAAAAAAAGACCCCCCCCCCTGCAATGAATGGGAATCTAATTTAGTCTAACTTTTTTATATTACTTTTATCAATAAGTTTTGAGTTCTGTCAAACTGATGCAAAAGGCATCAGAGCCAGTGTTATTAACATTTGTATGTATACCCATCTTATTAATTATAATCAACATTTTCTCCTATTTAGCGACTCAGAGCTAACAGTAGTTAGCAGTCATGCTAGCTGCAGACTTGGTCCTGGTTTTTGCCCCTTGATGCTTGAAGGGGTCTTCTTTCCACAGAACACATGAACTATTTGTTCTCATTCGTTTTGACAGGCCATTCGTTTTGTTGCAGCTCTGTCACTGTCACCTTCATGAAGAAATATGGCCGCAGCAGCCTCTGCCCCTGTTCCCTACACCTCACGCCCTTAGCTGACAAACTTGCCCCGACTCTGACCAGACCCCCACCATCCTGATAGCTCACACGTGGCTTTCTAAGAGCCATAAAAGCAGCAGAAGGTTTTAACACGTCGTTAAAATCAGTGGCAGGAACAGGAGGATATTAATTAGTTTAGTGCATTCATGGTCCTGTGCTCACCTCTTCTGCTTCCATGATCATTTCTGAGGGATGGAACTAGATCAAGTTCATTGTTTGATGTGCTCCGTGTTGTCAATCACTTAGCTTTACACAGATACTGACAAAAGAATTATCAAACATGTATATAAGGCAAGTTTGACTTTTTGTTTAACATTCGCTGTTCTCCACTCCAGCAGAAACACTTCTAAATACAATCTGCAGTCCATCCTTAAAAAGGGCCATTCCAACAACTTGAAGCACAGTTAACAAATGCAGTGAGTAAAACACTCCCTTTTGTTGGGCTGACACGAGGACACCAAAAGGACAGACCTTGGAGTGCATCTTCAAACACAATCAGTTGAAATGTAGAACACTTCATTTTCTGCAGCATGAGACGTTCACAGCAGGATGAAGGTGATCTACAGATTTTGATCACAAGGACTGGGAAAGATCAAACAGCACTGTAAAAAAAACAACTAGTTATGACTTTAAGAAGTTAGTGTCTGGGTTGCCTTAAATTCTTAAGTTACCTGAACTTAAGAAAGATAAGTTGATGTAAATTTGTGATTACTCCAAATAAATAAAATGTTCTATAGTCAAATAAATTTGACATCAAGACAGTTGTACTTACATTTTTAAGTTCACAAAACTTTTGAACACAGCTCAGTTCCTGTGAAATTATCTTGTTATCTAGTTGAGGCAAAATGCTCTTTCAATTTCTTTTCACCTGAAATCCAAAGTTAAAATACTTTATCAAAAGTTGAATCCATCTAAATGAATTAATCAATTTAAATTGAATATATATATTTATATTTTAGTCAACTTAAATCAGTTCAGCGTATACATTTTTAGTGATTCTCTTTGCTTTTGTGGAAACTTTCAACTTCCTTTCAAATACAAATTAAAAAAAAGGTATAATCTCTTCAGGTTATTCATTTTATCACAGAAACCAACCAACTTTAGTTCTTCAACCTTTGATAGCAGATCAGATCAAATAGCAAATCTAAACATTTACAAATGTTTTTACCGCTTGTTGGTAAAAACATTTCCACCCAAGAATGTGCAGAAAATCAGTTGTCCTTCTTTTGCTGCATTAAAAATTTATCGGTCACTTTTCTCAGTATTTTCAGATGCAATAAACGTATAAAATCAGGTAATTTACACATTTAATGAGGTGATCTTACTGTGGTAACACAAACATTTCAGAAAAGATCTGTGAGACAATATCCAAATATTTCTTGGAAGCTTTCAGAAAACTCTTTTTCTCAGTCCATGGACCCTTGAAGTGGTCACCACCGATATTCAATAGGTTCTTCTGTATGACTTAAAATGTATACTGTACTTCCTCATCTACTGGATCAACTTCCTTAAATTATGATGAATGCATTTAAATGAACGCTTTCAAGTAAAATCTTTCCTGGAAATGTTGGCGAGATTGAAAACCATCCCGTATGTCTTTGTGTCGATTTTTAGAACACTAATCTCTTCACAGGGTGATGAAGAAAATGTTCTGACTCACTGGATGATGTTCCCTCATCAGACCAAGATCTGCTCGCTCACTGTCAGCGATGGCTTAATTCCAGGTATGCTCTTGTTTACAATACAGTATATATACATAGCTAAACACTTTAAATACCATTTCAACTCCTGAACATTTATTATCATCTCATTAACATTTAGAAACAAGAAGTGACAAGTGTGAAAGCCTTATGTCTTGTTACATTGTTGTTTTTCTTTTGGGGTTTTATTGAGACTTTATTTTTGTGTATTGTTGGGATTTTTACGTTGTGTAAATCACTTTTTAGCGTTGGTGTGTGATAAGTGCTTTGTAAACAAACTATGATTTCTGATGGGTAAAAGAGAAAGAATGAGGAATAGAAACACAACGTGAAACAGTTGCACAAAGTTCAAAGGCCTGTTGGAAAAGATTGTGTGATGGTTGTTGTTGTCTTTTCTTCTGCGTAAGGATACCCTGAGTCTTTGGGACCTTCACTTCCTGGACTTCACTTCCTTCCATGACTTTGAACTCACCACAGAGTGCGGCTCTGCCTCCACGGTGGCGTATGTGTCAATGTTTTTAAACCTACTACAGCTGTGATTTATACAGAGAAATGGGACTCAAATAATGATGAAATATCTGTTTCACAGCCAAACGCTGCATGAAGATGATTACACTGACCAAACAAGACTACTGTCAGGTATTTGTACAAACGCTTTTAAAGAACTGTGATGTGATTTTCACGAGGCTGTCCTGAACTCAACATAAAGCTTTATGATCTTTCAGATCAACTCACTGCAAATACGATTTCTGCCCTCGATGACTGTTTGTTACTCTGTGGATGTGTCTTCAGTCTGCTGTCTCTTCCAGACAAAAATAAACATGGTAAACATCAACACTTATTACAGTGGTAAGTGGATCTTGCGTGCATTAAATGTAAAGATTTCTGCACATTTAAGTAACATATTTCACTCCTTCAGATTCTGCACACCAAGACGCCACAGTGCCAACATGCTCTTCCTCAGTTGACTCGAAATGTCACTAAAAAATCCTTCAAACGGGAGCTTCTTGTTGTACAGATCTTGT